GGAATTTTCAGTGCCAGAAAAAACAAGGCAATACGGAGGTTTAGCTTTATTCCCTGCTCTCTGTACTCCCAGTCCTGTTACAGCTCCAAGCTCCATTTTATGGCTGACTGCAATCTTTCACTTGCATCACCCAGATTCTGTGCTGTTTCTTCTGTGTGCAGCAGCGCTGGCCAGTGCAGCACACGTTGTACCCTGCCTTACAGTAAAGCTGAGTGGTGTGCTCAAACAAAGATGATGTGAGGTGATCTGCTTCTGAAGAGAAGTGAAACCATGGAGACCATGGAAACTGCTCGGCTGCGCCGCATCCTTGTTCAGCGGCCGATGAGGGAGCTGGCAGCGCGTGCTGCCCGAGCAGATGAAGGAGCCTCAAGAGGCCCAGGTTCTCATCCCAGGGGCTGCGTGCGTGTGGGGAGCAGAGATTTGCTGGCTTCTTCGACAGCTGGGAGCATGTGTGGAAGACAAAACCTGTGTTGTGGTGGAAGAGCCTCCTGCAAATTGCTGAAGTGCTAGAGGATGATTTGCATACCTGGCTCTTTGTTCTCCCTCCTGTGCTGTGCTGTGGCTCTACAGACACATCTGTGAGGCAGGGTAGTGCAGCTATTAGCATTTGCAGCGTGCCACGTGAGCAGGGTGCTTACCCAGTCTGCTGGCAGTAGCCCAGAGGGGCCTTGTTGTTAATAAGTGCAAAGCTTTAATACTCTGAAAGGATGGCTCTCCTTATGGGGTCTGAGAGGGATGCTGCAGGGACCGGCTGTTTGAACACCCATCCTGCCTGTCAGAGCTGCCTAGCAGCTGCCATTAAGAACTGGAGTCAAAGGCATGGCTCGATTGCTTAATCATTTATAGTTGCCTTAATGGGTGTCTGCACCTCCCTCTGAAGGGAACAGAAGTGGCAGTGAACCCTTCCAAGCCACGTCTCCAAAGCATCTGTAATAATCATCTCACCGACTCTTAAACAGGGGAGAGGAGGTCAGTGGAAGCGTGGTGCTGTGGATGAACTCCACCGCTGCACTTCTCGAGGGGAGGCAGGGCTCAGGCAGTTTCTTGTAAGACATCACTACGCGCATGAGCATTTTTTAATAAGTAACCCCTTATCATGTGTTGTTAGTCAGGATGTACCGGGACCTCCCACACGGAAGGTGCAGGTTTCCATTACTTACTCTTTGCGCTGCACTAGTTTGCAACCCCCTTGTTGTAGGACAGAAAAGCCAGACTGAGCAGAGCCCTTAGTTCAGAGGTGCAGCAGCCAGATTGGGACCCCGGGCTGCTAAGTGGGTGCTGGTATGCGCTGATCCTCTTGGGCAGAGGAGTGCAGCCTGTTCTAGTCGTGGCATCACATGCAGCAGGCATGAGGGCCAAAGTGGGAGAGAACTTAGGCAGCAAACTGCTTGTGCAGGGCTGTTAAAATGCCTTCTTTGCATATTTTCTTCCAGATCCTGTGTAAAATGAAAATTCCATCACCCCTAGTGGATTCAACCTGTCCCCCTCCCACCCCTTATTCCTTGATGTTGGATTTGTTTCTTGGACGACCACTCCAGTTACATTACTAGTGCCTTCATACTGCTTGTGTGTTGTGTTTTTTTCCGCCTGTCAGGGTGTGGGCAGACCAGCATTCACATCCTGGGTTCTTTACAAAGGAGAAGGGAGATCTTGATCGGGGCTGGGTAGTCACGTAGCATTGCGTGACCTCACATTGTTCGGCAAAAGTAGTGGGTCCGTGCGCCTGTAGGTGTCTGGCTGCCTCTGTTTAATGTGAAGAAACTGAGACTGGGAGACACTTGCCATGGTGACATGAGGACAATCTGATCCCATTCTCATTGATGTCAGTGGAAGCAGGAGCTGACCTTGACTTGGTCATAAAGGGGGAGCTTCTTCCTTTTCTGTCATCACCTTACAGTGAACTCAAGCCAAACTATTTTGTTTTCAGAAGTAACATTCAGACATCTTAGCTATGAAAACTGTTTACCTTTCCTTTTGCTTGTTAAGTGTTCGTTTGTTTGAACGAGAGTGTTCTCATCACAAGGTCTTCAGTGCCAGAGCTTTTGCTTGAAGCCTGTCGATATTGGTGATCTAGCCAAGTGGGAAAATGCGAGATTCGGTTGTGTGTGTGAAGTGTCCTACAAGATTTACAATTAAGTGACTGAGGAAGCCAAAAAACAACCCACATACATGACTTGAGTTACTTAGTTGAATAAAGCTCTAAATGTTTACTCTTAAACTGTGCTCTTTAATGTCTTGGAGTGGTATGTTTAGTTGATGTAACATAAGCAGTTTTCTCTAGAAAAAAAGTTCTGTTTAAACAGACCAGGCAACTGCTTGTACCTGTGACTTTGAAGTAGAATAATAAGGCATTAATTATATTCAAGTTTGTTGCAATGTGCTTTTTCTTACATTAAATGTGATTTTTTTTCTTTTTCTCTTTCAGACTTAACCAACATAATGACTGCTGAATATTAAGGGAAAACACAAGAAGGTTCCATGTTTGGTTGTCTAATATTCTTGGATTTGATATGAGTCACCACATCTGTTCATTAGTATCATCAGCAGCATCCCAGTTTGTATGCACATTATTCACATTCCTATCTGTTGTGTTTGCAGAAATGACATTTTACCCTTTTTTCTAAGGGTTACTTTACAATTTTCATATTATTTGGTTGCATGAAGTTGCCCTTTACCAGTGGCTGAGGTTTATGAAGATATCGCATACTTGAACATGTTTAGATTCCTTTTCTAAACAGAAAAGGTGTAACTCCAAATTGTATCATTCTAAATCAGCATTTTTAAAAAACAAGTAGAAACGAGTCCCTTTCATACAATACTACAATCTCTTCCACCTACAAACATAATTTTAAATTTCCCTGTATCCATACTTTCTTGATTTTTGATCAGTTTACAACATAAAAGAAAAAATCTTCTTCAGTTGAGATCACCACAAAGTTCAATAATGTAATAAAATACCTTTCCTTATTAGAAGTACCTAGCTAGTTATACTCTTAATACTTCTCAAAATCATGATGTAATGTACACTATCTGACTTAGTTCCTATATGTGAAGTTAGTGAAAGTCTTTTTGTGTTTCTTTAGATTAATACAAGGATTTTTTCCAATGCCAACACAATTTGAAATCATTCATTTGGATGCTTTCCATTTTTAAGCTTACTGTGATATAGAACCCTATGGGAAACCAAAAGAAAACATCAATTTTAATTAATGAAAGGCTTAAAAAAGGATGCTGTCATTCTGGCTTTTTTTTCCTTTTGGAAATAGAACTAGACTAGTAAGTAAGCATTCCAAATCCATTATTCTGTGTACATTATTGTTGCTATTGTGATAATAGAGATTTTTATTTATTTTTATGCCAGCTTTTATTGTGGAAACATATTTAGTCTGGTTTTATCAATCCTTGTTATGCTTGTCCTTGGAACATCTTTTGCGTATTCAAGGTTTGTAGTTGACGAGTTTACTGTAAAAAACTAAAAAAAAAAAAAAAACACAACAAAAAAACATAAAATGAAACAAAAAGAAAACAAAAAAATGTATTGTTTTTACAGAATAAATTTATTGGAATGTGTATTGGGAGTAAGGTTTGAGGTTGTAAGCAACTAAGTTAGCGTCATATTTGGCTTCATACGTGTAATAATGTGAGGTATTAATGTAAGTCAAGTATTAAAGCAAAACATTCTGTTAACATGAGTTGACCATAATAGATACAAGTGCAGGTGAGATCTTTATTTTTTCTGTACTTTGCCTTTTCTGGATAACAGGAGGTTATTAAATTCACCTTGAATGTATTCAAAGTTTCTTTAAAAACATTAGAAGTAACACTGGAGGCTCAAATATCTGTGAGACAGCATGTCCTGTTACAGCCCGATAGCTCGGGGGGTTTCTTGGGAGGACGTAAGGGGTTGGAGCTGGCCCAAATTCTAACATATGTGAAAGGAGTCCACACCAGGGAGGTTGGGTGCTTGAAGGAAACCCTTGCCTAAGTTTTTTTTTTACCAAGAACCATTGACTGAGATGTGTTGTGGTTATTTTGGACCTATCCCTTTGGCTGGAGGTATAACACCATGGGTTCTCTCCTCTGAGCACTGCTGTGGCTACACCTCAGTGTTCAGCTGGAGAGCATCAAAGCATGAATTTCTTGCTGCTCTGAAAGTCCCCTTGTATAGAGTGCAACATGCATGCGCATGAGCTGATGCTTTCTTGTTACTGATTAGATTTAAAAAGAAAACTGAAATTCTCTAAATCAAAACACCCAAAATTCAGTGTCCCAAAATAAAGTGTTTGCAGCTAAAATGTATCAGCTAATTTCATCTGCAAGAAAGGCACAAAGTGTACTGCTTTTAGTGTAAATACACATAGAAGTCGTATAAATAGTTGTAATTGCAAATGGAAACATAAACCACACAAAGCGAGCTCTCTGTGTATGCTGCTACTTGTTCGTGACCTAACACCATTAGCAAAAGTAGCTGCACAGAGAAGCACAGCAGCAGAACCTCTTGGGAAACGCATGCTGTTTTGTCAGGCCTGATTGTTCACAGCAGTGAGCACTCCGTGCCCAGTGCAGAAATGCAGGTAAGCACATGCTTAACTTCCAGCACATGAGTAGTCCTTGCAGAGGTGAATCCTTTAAAGTATTAACAAAATTATATGATTTGCATATGGAGTCTTACCATAACAGTTGATTGCTTCTTAAAAGATTTCTTGGGATTTTTAACGAGGCTGACCCACAAGACATACTTTTTGACAAATAAAACGTGTGCATGTTACAGAGTTATGTACGTTACTTTTTGACATTTCAAAATCTTGACCTTCATGTTCTACAGTAGCTTTGCATAGGGATTGCTAACGCTGATAGCATGTAGAGGCAAAACACTGACATTGTAATTATTTAACTCCATGCAGGATTTCTGAAGATGTCAAGGAAGTTTGCTTTAAAAATGCGTGAACTATATGGGAGCTACCAACCCCACCACAGCATTAAGTCAGAATGTTGAGAAGTGATATTGAAGGCAGTTGTCTTTATTTTCCCTTTTTGAGTAGGATAAACAAAACAGACCATGCATCTTTACACAATTGTGCAATATTACACATCTTACACACGTCATTTGGATTCCATCTGAGCAGTTCAGTTACTTCCAAGCCCAATTATATACACAGCCAAAAAGAGGAGCCGAAAACTGTTGTGCTATTCCGTTTTTTCTTCTTGTTTTGTTTTCATAAAAAACTCTGGCATGTTGACACACCTGTAAGCCAACAGCTGGGGAAGAATCCCATACATTATGTTCAATACCAGAAAAAACTGTTTTGCTTCTTCAGGGACTCTGTAGATGTAAGGAGTTCGAGCATGAAGAGAAGCACCAATATGGGAAAATTGAGCCTGTGGTGTGTATATAATGTATATATTAAAAAAAAAGGTAAAGTTGATGTATATTTTGGAAAGACAGCATAATCTGCATGCAAGTATGAATCTCCAGTGACGTTTTCCAAGCCAACCCATTTATTCCTGAATTCTTTCATACAGCAGTAAACAGCACAGCAGTAAACAAAAACAAAATCTGAACTAAGGTCATTCATATCTTGGTACAAGAGCCGTAAATGGAGCTGTCAGTGTCACGGTAGGAGGAGTACTTTATGCGCATGGTGGCACTGATCTTTACATCAGGTGTAGGGTTTCACCCTTGGCTTATGGCTGATTATTCATGCAACAGGGCCCATGATCCTTCCCCAGGCAGATGGCCACTGGAGCTTACTCACTGTAAGGTCTCTGCTAAGTCTCAGCCCAGAAGGGGGGTAGGACTTGCACCCACCTACCTAGGAACATTGTGTTTGGCATCAACGGTAAGCAGACAGATGCTGACTCTAAATAAAGTCAGAAAATAAAAACTTGGAAGCTATGTTAGTTTCTTTTATGTTTGTTTTTGGTTTGGTGTTTGTTTGTTTAACTCTTAATCCCAGTTTTACAAACACAAATCCCAGAACTCCTGATGATTTCAGAAAATGTTGGTAAAATTTGGCCTTTGGGCTTAGGCTGGTTCTGAGGTATAGGTTACGTTTACGGTGAAGGTTATATGCAAAGGCAAGCCTTGCTGAGCTGAAGCATATTTTTAGCATAAACAAACATTTAAAGATAGAAATGTCAGGATAGTTGCTGTCTTTTGTCTCCATCTGTTACCTGCTATTTCAAGCAACAGCTCGTTCACATTAACTATCATGTGTCCAATTTTATTTAGTTAGTTAGTTTGCAGTGGGGGAGATCTGAGAAGATAAACATCAATTTGATCTTAAGCAGAGCAGGAGAAAGGGACACCAGCATTTCAGTAACAGAGGAGTACACTATGGCCAAATCACGCCCTCTGTTCTGGCTTCAGCCCGAGCTATTTTGGACTCACAGAGAACACAATTCTCTTCACAGTTAGAAAGTGAAGCACAGTGCAGGTGTTTTAATACACAGCCCTCTGGCAAAAGGTTAGGCCTGAGACCATACTTCAAAACAGAAAAGGAAATTGGTTTTCAGGAGATTATAACCACCTCCACTTAACAGGGAGCACTGATCTAGCAAAGCAGAGTCAGGAAACAGGGTAATCAAAGAAATCAAACACAAACACACTTCAGCAGAGTGCCACTTAGCAAGTTTCTGTAAATAGCTATTACACAGTAAACAGATGTTCAGGGGCACACTATCAGCAGACTTTTTATATCAGCTGAATATTTCAGCCACTTCTTGCAGCCCGTTTGTTCTCACCTGTCTCAGATGGGAACTGCCTTTGGCAGCTGTGCTCTCACTCTGATACCTGCTGCCTTTCCTTACCTTGGGAACACAGTACAAGCAGCCAGCACTCAGGAGCAGAGACATCCCATTATACAAGGTAACGGTTTCCTAAGAAAATACCCAGCTGCCACCACCAGGCTTTGTGTAGGAAGTTTGGGGCTGTCTAATTTTTACCTAAGCGCTAAGACCCTCCCTGTGATGTCTTAGAACTTCTGGGGTGCGCAAAATGCTGAGCTGCGTGCTTCTTTGTGGAGGGCTGCAAGGCTCTCCTGTTTATCTCTGCAGCTGTGGCCAGCCACGCATCATAGTAAGTTCAAGAACCTTATCATAAAGAGCTGTAAGAGAGAGCTTCTGAAATCCAGAACTCCAAAGCCTCCTAGATGCCTTTGAAGATCTAAGCCTTATTTTGTGGTTTTTGTCTCTTATAAGAATTGTGGCATGTTAGTGAGCTATCAAAAGAAAAAGCAGAAACACTTGACTGTTATTGTTTATTCTATTTGTAGCCCACAAAGATTCTCACCAGCTAATGATGCACCATAAAATGAAGTTGTTATTTACTAGACATGTTTTTCTATATAATGTGTTTTTCTTCTCATTACCAGGGAGAATATTTAGGTCTGTTAAAATCAGTTTGTATTTATTGAAGTTTGATCTGCCTTCACAGAACTGTTGTGTTTTTAATTTAACATATTTCCTTTCCATGAATGTAGTCAGCTTCTAGGGTTTTTTTGATTGTTGTTTTTTTGTTTGTTCCCCTTGAGGGCAGGGTGGGTGTGTTTTAAAGCAGGTCTCTCATTCACCAATATCCTAATCCTGTTCTTCTTTCAAGTGCCAGGCAGACTCCTACCAAATCCTTAATTTCTAGAAAGGTAGGAGCTGGTGGTCATTCCGTGTCACTGTGCTGCCTATTGTGCACTAGGCTGGCATTTCAGAAAGCGAGAACAACCTTGAGTCTGCTCTGTTACTTTGCTGTGATCTGAGCCTCTCAGTGACTAAGCTTTCTGTTACTGAACCCTCTTTAAGTGGTTCATTTTGACAAAACTCCAAACCTTGGCTGAGGAATCAACCAGATAAGACGCAGCAGGTTAACTTCTCAGGTAGCCTTATCTGATTAACATACAGCCTTCACTGGCCTCAAAACCTCGACCAGTCTGCTCACGAGGCCATTCCGCAGCAACGGGAAGGTGCCTGGTGCTGGATGTGGCACTGCTCAACTTGACAGCTGCAATTTGCATATGCCTAGTACTCATTAAGTTTCTTGTTTGTATGAAATAGTGGGGATTTCTTTGTTTGGCATTTTTGTTTGTTTCAACATTATTTTTTGCTGGTAGACTAATCATAGTATTTGTTACTCTGCAATCAAGAAAGTCCTCCAGCCAGAGAAAAAGAGCCTGGGAAAAAAGGTTAGGAGTCTTCACTCTGAGCCTTCTTTGTCTGATTAAAATCAGAAAAAATCATAACTGGTTTTGTAAGGGTTTGGACCAGGTCTTAAGAGCCTAAGGAAAGACATCAAATGGAGTGGAAAGACAGTAACCTAGAGAAATAAGTTCCTTGGGTTTAGGTTCTCTTGTAGATCAGAGGCACTGCAGAAACTAGCCACCAAAAATTGTCGGATTAAGGAAAACACTTATGTGGAGAAGGAGTAAAGAAAAAGTTTCTGCATCTCAGCATAGGGAAGAAGGCCATGGAGAGCTAGTGAGACAGAGGTGATTGTGGGTAGCGGGGACATGGCTCTTAATCACTTCTCGTGCGGCTCACTTGAATAGGTGAATGCCAATTTTATCAAGTTCACAGAGGCTACTTTAACTCTTCCTTATAATCAAAGCTCCTGGTACTTCAGTCATGTGGCACTTAAAGAGCTCTTCCTGCAGCTTCAGAAAGTCTGAGAAGAGTCACAACCTGTTCTTAGAGTCTGAATGTCAGTAACCAAATAATCCAACCTGAGAGCTATGTGTAATTCTGGAAACAATAAATAGAGCGGAATATTTTTTATTGTGTATGAAGGGCTAGGCACCTGTAAAGGGTTTTTGGATGCATCAAATGCCATTTTCAGACTTGTTTTTGCCAAAACAAAAGTATGTATTTCATAACGATAGAAATAAAAATAACTAAAATCCCAACATCCCCCATCTGTAGGAGCAGTGTTTATTCCCAGGGGTCAATGCTCCATTTTCATCTTTAGATGTTTACCTTTTCTGGACCTTTACGCATAGCAGAAAGCAAAATGTGTTTCAGTACTACATTTATTTTAATTACCAATTGCAACTGTTTTGACAGTAGACAAACCTGGAAATGTGTTTTGTGCTCCAAATAAAAATAACAACAAAACACCTTTTAAAAAGAGCCCTCAAACCATTATCACATGTTTTTCTTCCTAAGTTGCACAAAGGCAAATCAAGTAAATCATTCTCAGTTGTGGGATGACTGAAGTTCATTGTGCAGTACATTGCAGTCAAAACCACAAAAACTATACAAAATGTCTTTCAATTGGGATAAAATTAATTAGGGGGAGTGTGCAATATACAGTTCACTTAATTAGCTTTTGTCAACCTACAGAATTTGTGCTTGTGCCTGGGATAAGCTTCAAAGATGAAAATGGGAAATTTTGAGTATAAAGTGCCACTTAAAAATAAAAAAGTCAGCATATGTTATGAGAAACATTTGTTTCTCATAAACAACCTTGTTGAAACACCTCCAGTCTCTGGGGGGGTCTGAGATTTTGGTAAACTTGTATGGTTGTGACAGTCAGCACTGCTTTGACTTCTGGTTTATTTCACGAAGTGCTAAATAATCCTTGAAGGAGCAGTTTCTTTCTTTACTGCCTGGGGAATTCATGAAACATGAGTAATCTGTCAGTAGAGAGAGGTTCCTGACACTGACTTGCCCACTTTAGCTACCTTGTGCTTTTTTTAGATTAGATTTGGGCTGAACACAGTTGTATAACATTTATGATACCTTTGAGCATCTAAAATTCTTCAGTAATGTTTGCCAGATTCTGTTTTGATATAATTTGGTGATTCAAGATCCTTTATAATTAAAAAAAAATAATATAATCTCTGTAATCGTTGCTCACAAATAGAAAATAAACTCTCCCCATCTTTACTGGACAGTTAAACTGGATTATGGTTAGTATCTGTGAATGCTATCTCATGCATAGGGGACAAAGTAGTGGTTTGTGTTTGTCTAATAGCAATACTTTAACTGCCTTTATTCCGTGTCCCTATGTTTTCATCATTCTTACAGGATTATGTGCGTATTTTCTGCATTGTCTGGATACTCAGCACATTTCACACCCTACATACAGTACAAATCAATTCTTGTCACAGTCTCAACTGTTCAGTGTTTATCTATGTGACATGAGAGGTAGTTTACTAGTGCTTGTCAACTTTGATTGCTGTTTTGGTCAGTGTTCTTATAACCATCAGCACCATCTAGCAATTAACTGAAGCTGTTCAAGAGAATCAGAACAGAATGAGTTAGGTGTGATCATGCGTATGCCTTTGGCAACACGAGCATATCTTAATGTTACCGCAGCTTGTGGACCAGGAGGTTCCCAGAGTTACCTCACCATCCTCAACTGATAATATCCCTGTCATGTGACTGTTAGATTCTTGTTCCATTTGTGTGTTGTTTTTTTTTTTTCTGTTTTTTGGTTTTTCTTCCCAGATCACCTAGCTGGCCAGCACATATTATGGAAACATTATGTTTTGTTGTTCATTGTTGTTTTTTTCTCTTTTATGTGGTCCACTATTCAGCTATGAAACACCTTCCTTCATGGTCTCAGCTAAAGAATTAATGGCATTTAATAAGGTTTAAATGAGTCCGATGAAAAGATACTGCAGAAAGAGAAAAGTCTACTAGAGCAAGAATGCAGCCTGATTTAAAAAAAAAAAAAAAAAAAAAAAGGTTGATTCTCCACTCCCTTAAATTAGTTCTTCACAGATCTAAAAGGTGATCTGTGTTACAATGGTGTAAAACCAGCATGGCAAGATCAAGTTCTGGTCCCCTTACTCATTCCATGGTTCTCTACTTATTAACCAGTAATTCAAAAGTAAACATTTTACGAAGAAATACCTGAGCTAGTCCTCCAGCATGTATAAGGGTTAAATCAGGCATCCAGGAACAACCAGGTACCAGTAGTCCATACAGAGCAATCACATAGTATGGCACAGAGTAGAACATGTATGCCAGCATCTGCATTTTAAACACAAATATTAGTTGCTTTGCAATATGAGGGAGATGCATTTAAAAATTAGCCAGCTGCTGACTGAAGATTTGAGATTATTCACAACTAAACTCCTCGGAGCAATGATTCCCAGGCCTTTCTATAGTTACAAGCTTTTTGTGAGACGAGTTTCACACATGGATGCTGTTCACCGGATCTAGCTACCTCAAGGCTTCCACTAGTATTGATGGCTGTTGCCTCTTTGCCTGTTCCAAATTGTCTTTGTCCCAGGACATACTTTCCTTCCTCCTACTGCTTACCATCTTGGGACCAATCTAATAAGTATGACTTGTCCTAACTCATTATCCAATATAATATGGGTGTCCATTTCTCAAGCTCCATGGTGCTTTCAGTTTTGCAATATGAGATATACCCAAGCCACCCCCTTTTCCAGAAAGAACAGGTCATTGTCCCACTAGTGAATCCTCTTATCTCTTCAGGCCCTGCCCCTATGCAGTATCCAGGGTTGCAAAAGAATGGCAACCTTGCAAATATTACATAACTAAAGGAAAACATTCCCTTCTCTGTAATATTTATGTAAATAGGGTTTGTAAGAAGCATCCTACCTCAAGGAGTGTCACTGGTGACAGAAGCACAACGCGAGCTTAAGGAATCTAGTTCTACTGCACCCCTTGCTCCATTATTCCAGACTGAAAGTCTGCTTTGCCCATTTAAGGAAAAGCAATTATTCTAAAAATCATGTGGATCTATTTCATGGAATATATTAATAGAATCCTCAGTAATTAGGATGTGTAACTCAAGGTAACTGATTTGAACCAAAGTTAAACTTATCACCATGAAGAGTTGTTACCCTGTAAGGCTGTTTAGTGTGTAATACGGAATTCTGGTTAACTTGCCATGAACAAATACTTCCCTTATTGATGTTGTCATCTGTGGCAACCCATGGCTTCATCTTTGCGCCAGGTAACAAATCACTTCATATCACTCTATGCTCCACAGTCAATGCTTTACCTGAAGCTTAGGATAGGCAGCAGGATCTTTTATATAAGGCTCGTGAAGTTGAATATATAGCCGGCAGAGTTCAGCAGGGCAATCCAGAGCAATCTAAGAAGAATTTTTAAAACTTCCCGTGAACAAAGAATTTTCTCTAAAATGAGCTAACCTGATACCTGTTACCTGCCCTAGCTACTCAGTAGTGTTCTGCAGCACTGATACACAGGAGGCTTGGTGAAAAACTATTGCAAAGGTGATCCATTTGATCACCAATTTAAAAACAAATCAAAAAGGCTGAAATGCAGCCTCCTTTCAGTTGCTGCTTGGAGGGGTTGCAAGGAAATGCTAACAGCCTTCTTCAAAAATTCTGACTGGAAAAGATTTCAGTCAGTTGGCTATGTAATAGTAAAAACTATAATTACTATTGATTTGGCCTGATAACCAGGCTTTGATAGCAGGAAATGAGCTTTTGAATGGAAAATTGTTCAAACAGTGGGAACTTCAGGTTAAGCACCTAAGTTTAGGATAGCAAGCTATGGATATAGTCCAAGAAAAGAGTTGCACTGTGGAAAAGTAGCAATGGAGAGTGATGCAGATTTCAAAAACAGGTGTTTTTTAAAAACAATTACAATGACTTCTAAAAGGGGGTAGCAGAGGAGAGATAATTGGATTTTATATTCCTACAGAGAGAATAAAGTTCCCAATAAACATGAAAAGACCCAGTTCCAAAAGTAGTTACTTTTTTATATTAGGAGTTTTAAGGGACTACTGTGAAAATACTATTCCAAAATGTGTAAGCAGTCTGTATCACCAGCTGTCACACTCAGTGTTTGTAGCACGGCATTATCAATGCCCATTTAATAGCAGGGCTGAACATTGCTTTGCACAACCCAATTTCAGGTGCTGCATGACTTTGAGGGGGAAATACAAAGATTTACCAGCAATGGCTATTCCTCCCTGTTGTTTTCAAACATGTGGATCCAAGAAGAAGATCTGGGTGCACTATAAAAGATTGTGTTTCATTAGCCTTTTCACAAAATCATGGTTACTGCAGCTTACACAGAGACGTTCAGTGAATCTCTCTCTGCATGTAGAAGTAAGGCCACTAAACATTTCCTGCTTTGGTACTGGAAATACGTAAGGAAATCACCACACATTTAGGGGAAAGAAAAGAAAAAAAAAAACAAAAACAAACAAAAAAAATCCTCTGAGAAATGAAGTGGGGCTGCAGAATAAAAGTTAGATGTCAGCGTAAGATAACGATTCCCACAGCAAAACTACAGGTAAAAAGCTGATTAACCTGCATGAGTAGTACTCTGAAGTAGCATGATCTATAAGGAATTAAGTGGACTGCAACAAGTTAGAAGGAAAAAGAAAGATTTTTGTTGCAAGGCTAGTTCTTAGAGAAACAGCAGAAGATGAGAGTAATGTGAGGAGCAGAACTAGAATAAGGCAATCTGCATTAGGTGAATAAAATATTGCTATGGATAATTATCATGTGTTACTTGAATTATTCCAGACTGGATCAGATCTACAAATCAAACAGGCAGACAGTTGTGTAAAACACCTAAACATCTGAGCTCTGATCACTGGTTGATATGCAGCTTCCCTTCTGCTTAAGACAGAAAATGCTTTACAGCTGACAGGGGACTAGATTTACCTATTACTGGATTTATCTGCTTCAACAAGCATTTTCGATACTGACTCATGACTCATTTCCTCTGAAATTTTAATATAAACACCTGTGCATAAAAAGCAAACATAAGAACAAAATCATTCTAGCTAAGTACAATCAATGTGTGTTGTTCAGGTAACATGAACAAATTCTGTGTGTTTGTTTTTTCCCCCTCTCCAGGTGGAAAGCTTCTCCTTTCTCTCATGCAGTGTTAGTTAGTTTGTTTTCCTAATTTTAACTATGTATCTCTGTTTAGAAAAACACAAATGCAAACTTAATTTAGTTGGTTTGCTTCCATATTCTTGGACGTAAGTTCAACAATTGACCAATGAAAGCAATATTTAGCCCCAAGGGGTTGCTCTTGTAATTGTGTACCAAGTTTCTTCTGAAAGCCAGCCTTTACGTATAGAAAAATAGAGAAGCAAAGCACCAACAAGTATTCTAAATATCAATTTGTCCTACACACAGAATAAGTATATGAATACATAAATAAATATACATAAAGGCCCATTCCAACACTGAAAATTAAAGGATTTCCCTTGACTGAAATAAACATAACTTTTTGCCACAAAGTTGCTACAATATCTTATTTAGGAAAACAAATTTTTAATTTTCTCTGAAAAATAGAGGCAAGAATATTAAATTATCTTCAACTTACCATGCCCCTAAATATGCAAAATCCTGTTGCTAGTATGAGGTACGCAGCTAACATTAAATCTACTGGTCGTCTTAAGAGTCCTTTCTTCTGAACTTCCTGAACTACCTGCAATACAGAATGTGTTTAGTACATCCCAGTTCTGCATAACATGGTTTAACCTCAGATTAGTCACTACAAGAAGGTTCAAGTGGTGAAACGTCATGATAGAAGCAGTTTTCAGTTACCTTTTTCCCACTGACCTCGAGGACTGAAAGATTTCTGCATCTAAAAAGACGACTTTGGTCTTTATAGTATGCAGTCAGGAAAATTAGTCTGAATAAACTCTAGAAATGGATGGATCCAACTAAAGCCATTTCAATACAGATTAGTTTACTTTCAAAGCAACTTAACGCTACTTTAACTCTGAAATCATGCCAGGCTTCAAAGCGGTATAACTAACTTCCTTTAAAGCTGCATCTATTGTTAATTTAAATGAATTCGTGTTCCTGAATGTCCGTCTGTAGAAAAGCTTTGGAAATGTGGGTTTATTTATCTCAAGCATTTGAAGCTGTTTCCAATATGCTTTAAAAGGACTTTTTGGAGGGACAGTAAAATGAGGGCTCATCATTATTGACAGTGAATGCTAATTTTCAGCAGCCTGTGCTACTATTAAAATTAATGGAACAGGGATAAAATAAAAGCTTGTCTGTGGCTAACAGATCTCTGCTGACTTCAGTGGGCAAGTAATTTATCCTAATGTGTAATGCAGAAACAGCGAATGAAGAGAGTTTGTAGAGCACATGGTGGGGGGGTGGAACAAAACTATTCATTCTTTAATTGCTGTGTGCCATGGATTCCTCTGGCAGGTACCAAAGCACTTCTGGGTCTGATCTGTTCTGTGTCTCCTTTTTTCAGAACAGAAATCTCCCTCCAGGACCACATGTGCAGATGTGAGGTGATCAGACTGTAGGGTAACAAAGGCCATGAAGATATCTAACAGGGAGCATGGCTTAGAGGAACCAAAGTGAATGCTTTGTCTACATGCTAAAACTTACTAGACCCATGGAAATATTTCTAGGTACACTTTCAGCGCTGTATTCACAGGCAAAATTATAGGCACATCAGAATACCTTTCTGTAGTTCAGAGGGAGAGCTTCCCCATTTATACGTGTTACTCATTTCCTCTTCCTTTTTATTAGCCATGTGTTGGCATGCACACAGCAAAAGAAAAAACTGATCTCCTTCCTGTTATATACTTGTGAATTGTCTCCAAAAGCACAAAACAATAATTAGGATGTAGAGGCACAGTTAAAAGCACTTAAGATCACAATAAAGTCACTGAAGCAAGAGAAACACTTTGCAAGCACAATTCCTGAATAAGAACTGTACAACCTTCATTGTAGTTTAATAAAAATAAGGCTTTTATATACACAGATAATCCTTTTCATAAAATTATTTTTTAAATATATTTTTCAGAAAAATCTGTTAATTCATAGTATTTAAAGCACTAATGTAGCAATGCTTATAATACTACCTGCAAGTTACATATATTTTCTAATATTCCTATGAAAGACAAAGAGTTCCATGGCTACTGAGTTGCAAGTCATTATCAGATATAAACCACATAAGGATATTGGAAAATCTGAGGGTTGGTATATTTTCTTTCCACTTTGTCCAAGTTTGAAGCACGCATTTATGTCTATATACATATATGCATCAGTCCTTCCTGTCAAAAGGTATATTAAATGAATGTACATATTTACTGTGACTGCAAAACTACAGTATAACTTTGTATTTAGAGGTTTCAGAGACAGAGCCAATGTAATAGTAGGAACAAAATTTGTGTAGAACTAGTTTATGAAATTGCCAAGGCATTTGGCAACTTACACCTTTTTCTCTCTGTGTACACTAAACAAAATGAAAATGCAAAGCTTTAAAAATAATAATAATAAAAAAGAACAAGAATTAGGAAGACAATAGGCACTTTACTGTCAGACATTAACTGCATAGTAATTTTGCCTTACACTCCTTTTTACATGGCAAAGTCACTTCACTAAGTGCTGAGATGAATTGTGTGCTAAGTACAGTGGCTGAGTAGAGAGAACCTGCTACAGGTTTCCCCTTTATTGAAAGCAACATTGACCTCTGCACACATCTTGCCAATCCTGCTGTTTCTTTTGTTTAGTAAGGAAGTGTGTGGGTACACTTAGCATTTTCTCTCACTTCCAGGGAAAAGCTATTTTCCATAGCTTCTAAGAGGCTCCTTACGTGGTCAGATTTAAGCAGCAGGGATAATCATGTGTGCTGTCCATAGAATTCAGTCCCTTCAGAATTCATGTGCAAATCTGAATTTATGCATATTAATATTTTTAATGAAGTTTAAATTACCTTGAACTGTTTCTTGCGCTGTTATACTTGTAGATAAATCTGCTGGGCTTTGTAAAACACTAGCACAGCTTGCTTTGATTCAAAATGAGGACATAACTCCATTCCTTTCCTATGCATCCACTTCTATTAGAAAACACCCAAAACTTGATCATCTCCTCTCTGTCAGTTTTGTTGTTGTTTTTAACTAAACAGTTTATAACAACATTATAGCGATGACTATTCTGGCCAACATAACATACATTACATCTGTTGCTTTCATGTAAGTATTCTTTCTACAACGCTTAAAGGCATTAGTATGTTTTCTTCCTAAACCTATTAATACTGACTCTGAATAAAGATAGCTAAAAGAAATCAAGTTTTCAGCTAATTGCAGATTTTCTTTCGAAAGAGGACTAACTATTTTCAGGATTTATAATGATCATTTAAACTGATTAGCAGCACTACACACAATTGTTTCCTGAAAACAATATTTAATTTAGGATTTCAAGAGTTTTATTTAAAAAATAAAAGTCATTAGTAGTCCTGTTATGGTTTAAAGATATTCTAACTTTTACTGTTATTGGACCCAGGTATAAATTCCCAGCTCCAAACATTTGATACAGAGCATAAATTAGCTGTGAAGATAAAATATGAGTTCTAAAAAATAAATGACTGAACAAGGCTGGGTGGCCCTAGTGAAAGGGATCAAGACTTTTTTTTATGGCCTTCTATAGAAAGGAAGTTTAGGTTTACAAGAAAGGATTTACCTAAAAGTGTAATGTTAAACTTCCAGGTCACCAACTTCTTATTCACCCGCTTTTTGAAATAAAATTTAAAAACTGTATTTCTCTGGAATATATAACAAAGTAAAATATCAAACCTAGTTAAGTGGCTTAACTCCTCATGATCACAGGAGACATGGCTATATTTCAGCAAATAAGCAGTCCATTTTCTAAAGTAGAAAAGCAGTACATTTTCTAAAGTAGCAGTTCCTGTGGTGTTTTCTATACAAGACAAACTGAAACCTTTACCCATCCTCAATGCAAAGAATGTTCTCACTAATACATACAGCAAAAATCATCACCACCACCTCTAACTATGCTTAACCTCTCTACCCTAATGACTATCAGATGTGTTTCTGGCCTATAATTACTGACGATTTTAAATAAATTGGCTCAAAATTCTATGGGATGGGATGTGGTTTTCTAAAGACTATGCAGGAGGGTAGACAAGGGTTTGCTATTTGAAATCTTCTCTCATTCGCTTTTAACAGGGATTCACTGTAAAAGCTCTGATTCTGTAGCATGTCTTCAAACGTCAGAAGGTACGAGTATCTATGCGCCTTGTTTCTACTTCCAAGTCATGAATGGATAGATGGCTGAATGTTGTCTTTCATGCATTTCTGGGAATGTTTTTCAGTGCATTGTCTGCTGTTATTCTATGCCACAGAACATGCCCCTTGCACGCTAGCTGCTTATTAGCTTTAGAATAGGAACTCTCCTTGATCAGAGTCTTTATTTTCAGTTATGGAATAAACCTGACTGGGACTCAGGAGCTCTTGCGATGCAAAACTGTTAATTGATCATATTACAACAGATATGGTATGCTGTGGCGATAAAGTAGCTTGCTTATGGCAACAAAGTGTTAAATATCTGTTCTGTGCTTTGTAACGCAAGATTGTGCTTTTTATATATATTTAATATATATATAAAACAGTGCTTAAGCCATTGTTGCATTGTTTTTGCTTGCTCAGTTGATCTTATTTCAGCCCAGCTACTAAATTCGAAGCAAATAGCTTAAGCAGTTTGTAATTATTTTTTTTTACGTTTTTTTAATAAGTAAAAAATGCATAAAGAGTTTTCCTATCAATGTGCTAATGTCTTACCTCTAAAATCTAATATTGTGGCTTACTTTAAAAGAAATGTTTTAACTACATGAAATCTGTAGTCATTTGTAGAAGACATATGACTACTACTTTCCTGCGGAGCTTTTATAGGGATTGTGTGGTGCTTTATGAAGCTGGTGTATGTTAGTTTTTCAATCAATTAAGGTTGGAAAAAAATAGAAGAAGGCCACAAGATCAGTTCTAGAAATGAGTCCTTTGCTCTAAACATGCGAAACTTCTGCTATTCCCTTATCGCACCATAATGAAATGTTCTTGTAGCACAGGTATTTTTACAGTGTCTACACAGCTTGGCAGCAATTGTCATAACAGTGAACAGTTACAAAGCATTCCACTCTCACCATAAAACTCAGTAGGAACATTAAGCATATTTTGGTTTTCCAAACAGTAGCCAACACTTAAATACAACAATTTTACCTTGACTGGAGTGTCATGAGTCACCGAAGGTTGGTTATAAATTCGGAACCCAGCCCATATAGGAAGGCAAATATATGGTAGGCTTAAGAAAAAGGCAGGACACACTTTTGTTCCATATTTTCCTGTTAATAATAATAACAAAATCATAAGATGTATGAGAAATTTGTAAGTTGTGTTGTAGTGGAACAAAAAAAATATATATAATCCTATGTATTATCATAGCTGCTTCAGGTTTGACATTATGATAAAACGTTAGAAATGGCTGCTAAAGCAACACATAATCCTTGTTAAAAATCATGTACCCATTAGTGTTAGTCCCAGATGAGACAGAAACTATCAGACAGGGAGGCAGTTCAGAAATCTGCTTTCTTTGAGGGGCCTGGAAACTACCTCAGTCACTCTACACTGCTTCAAATAGAGACGGCATTTTGGAGTGAGGAAAAAAAAAAGTCTAATATTTTTTAAGATCTGGTATTGCATTTGTTTTCCAAAGTCCTGATTTCTCTTACAGGTCTGTACTAATACTTATGGACAAAATATAAGTAGAGACCTCAGCCAGGGTAAATCAGGAAAACTGTGTCTTTTACACTAGCTGTTCCCTGTCAGAAAGGAAAAGAGAAGGTGTGCTCTTGAAAACAAGTTTCTTGGCCTTCCCCACAGGAAAGAGGAAGAGAGAGCGTGCAGATTTACTGTGACAGTCTTCTCTGTGGTGTATGTGTTTCTACAAAAGACGGCACTGGACTGGTTCCAGACTGCACCATGAACTGTTAGGAAAAGCTCTACCATACTGAGCTTTTTTAAAGTTGACAGCAGGATTTGGAGGCAGGAACGTATTTTCAGTTGCATCCTGGTCAACTTTGCATCAACTTAAGCTTCTTAAATGAGGCAATCTTTAACTGGAGGTGGGACATAGGCAGGTTGGTCACTCCTAAAGGACCACCTATCAGAAAGACATGATATAAATTCTTAATTTACAATTCTCAACCTCTAGGAGCACAGCTATACACTGATTTATCATAGAAATCTGGGAGTGTTAAATTATTTTGAAAATAAAATAACTTCCAGATTTCACTTTTAAAGGTGATTTAGATTCCTCTTAAGCTGCTTGAAGGACAGACTATTAAGCAATATACTAATTTCATACAAAATAAGATTATATTTTTACTAGGAGACAGTTATTGTCTTATTGGTCAAATTAAACCTACTTTGGATGAAAGCCTTATGGGCATAGCAAAATATAATACTCTTTTTTTTAAAAAAAAAAATATCTTGAGAATGTAAATCAAAAGGATTTCTTTTCCTAGTGTCAGTCTTTCCTTCCTCATATTTAAATTTTGAAACATCTTGCCTCTGTTTACTGATATTCTAAAGTTCCTCTTCTGCTTTATTGCAGAAAGGAACCAATACTGCTGTAAAATTAGTCTTTTGCTGATTTTTGAAAATGTTTCACAGGAAAAATGCAGTCATATAAAGCATGTCCTTACCCACAATGTTTCCAGGCATAAAGACAATGATGCTCATGATAATGGAACCCAGCCAGTAGAGGCCAATGGATCTATAGCTTTGTCTGTTAAAAAAAATAAAAAATAAAAATAAAATTATTGCACTCTTTAAAAATCCACTACACCAAATTACGCTCAAATATTTTCCTAATTATCACTGTGTAAACAGTGTCAGTTAGTAAACAAATATTTTAAAATCTGCATCACAAGACAACAGTGGATTATTACTCTGAGGTGAGGACTTGGAAAAATTCTACATTCCTGTCTGAGAGGGTTATCATATGAACCTTAGTTATTTGCCACTATGTTTCACTCATTGAAAGGCTGAGTGCATGATTTTGCATGTCATATATTGTACGAGACTATAAAATTAATAATTAATTTGATTCCTGTAGTGTTTCTATTACCAGAGGATACATTAGTCTCTGGACTTTAAGTACTTATCTTCTCAGACTTTCTTCAACAGCAAAAAAGATAAGAACTTGTAGAAAGAGCCACTGCCTTTCAAACTGTGTGATTCTCTCTAAAACAGAGAACATCGTAACGCTAAATAATGATAATCCTAACATAAATATGTCATGGGAGAAGGGGGCATCACATGGTTTTAATATGCATCGTCTTTAAGTTTTCATTTTAACTAACACAAAGCATGCAGAGCTATGCTCAGGGTGAAGAAAAGAGACTACTGTTCAATTGATTTGTTGGTCTTATTCAGATGAGAGAAAGGGCAACTTGGAGGGGGTACAATTCCTAAAATAAAGAAATTTTAGTAGTGTTGCTTTAGCCTACAACATAAAACGGTCCTGAAAGAAAAATTTAAATACTACATAGGAAAGAAACCCCATTATAGGTTATATGAGAATGCAAGCAAATTAAAAGACACATTAATCAAAATGACTTACTCCCAAGCAATAGCTGCAACCATCAACAGATACATCAGATAGTGTGCTGAGCCATCCCAATAGCAGATCACATGGCCATAAGCAGTGTTCAGATATGGTTCACCCTACAGGAAAAAAAAATTAAAAACATAATGATTTAAGAGAGAATAATGAATAACCAATTAAAAAAAAAAAAAGAATAGCAGGAAACAATCTGAGAAAAGTAACTGATGATTTATCATTCTATTTTTTAACTATCAATAAACATGTCTCGAAGCACAAACCTAATTTAGACAGGATCAGGTATAATCAAATCAGTTATATATTTGCAAAACAGGGTGCAAGATGGAAGGGAAAACACCTGAGTATGACTATCTTTTTATATTGTTCTGCTATATTATGGAACTATTACTTTTCAGTATTTTAATGATAAAAGCAATGAAATAAAGATATATTTAACAAGTAACAAAGATACTTTGAGCATCCTAGAGATCAGCAGGATAGAATTTGTTGATGATGACAACATATAACCTTGTAGGGCCCAACTCATTTCACATTAAAGTTCATGGAATGTTTTCAATGACTTCAGTGACTTTCGAATCAAGCTCTTACTGAGCTATTTTTGGTGGATGTTGATATTCAGCAGCCAACAGATTCTGCTGACTAGATATCTGGCACCATCATTTTTTAACTGTACTGTAATTATATTTACTAAAGTGATCAGGCAACAATAAAGGAACAATTTTGTTTCCTTCTTGGTAAAGCACTTAGAAATAGCAACACTCATTCACTTTTGAGTGCTGACTATGTTTTTTTTTGCAAATGTGTATGGTCCACATAATTACCACAGATGTTAATACAGAACAGTATTACTTCAACTAAATTACATAATGTTGGAGCTTGAAAGGGATGCTCATCTTCCAAATGAATCAGTGATTTCAAGTCCATGAAAGTTTTGTCCATAACAATAATTGAACAGGTCAGTGACCAACTTCAAGAAGGTTCTGTTGCATGTGTAAATGGCTATTTTTCTGTGACAAATACTGCAACAAGTTATTCATAGTGAAGATTTTATTTATACATGTAAGCCAAACCTCTCTCAAGTTTACCTCTCTCAAGTAATGGGTCATGAATCCATCGATAATTCCATCCTGTTCCAGTCCAATTATTAGATTCACTACACTGGTAAAGGCAAATACTGCATAAACTGTGATAAGATAAAGCAAAATAAATTAAAAAAAAAAATCATAAGTGTTTAAAGACTTGAAATCATGCAGTCACTTCACAGTCTGACAAATTCAGTTAAGCAGAGATCTATTGAATCTAGATGCATCTACTTTGAGGCCATTTAACTGACATTTAACATGTAATATGACTTTCTCATGTAGCTTAATGTTTTTTAACTATTAGTTAGGAATCATGAAGTTTTTAGGAAGCTTTTCATAGAAATGTGAAATCCCGTAGAGCTGTAGGCACAGCCTCCATTAATCTCCATGGAAAATTAGCAAGTAAAGAAGGCACTGTAGGCTTTCAAAAATCTTAATCACATAAAGTACATAACCTCGAATGTAACTATCTCCTGAAAAGGAGAAAGGACAAACAATTAAAAAAAAAAAAAAAAGGAAGATGAGAGGAAAATGTAACTCGCCATTTTTGAAGGTGAGCAATGCAAACTGCATTAGCCACTGCAGTCCATGGGAGACCTATTGGGCAAGGTAGTGAGTCACTCATTTGAGACAGGAAATTTATCTGTGTTAGGTTTATGTTATCTATTTCCTTTGACTTCTGCATGAATTGAGAGATCCCAGCCTCACTCAGAACACTGCAGGACAGCTGCTTATAAGATATAAGGAGGAGGAAGACTGAGGGCAAATACAGGTAGTTTGTATACTGCTTTGCCTGTGGTTCCACATTGTAAAATTTCCAACTTGGGCCAGCTGGAGGCACAACTGCAGTGTTTTGTTTTGTTTTTTTTCTTCTATGTTTTTGCTATAAGGTAATCTAAATCTAAGGTTTCCTTTTAAAAAGTAATGAATATCTGTACGCCTTTAAGGCAAAGTGTAAGTATAGGTATGGATAGAATGGCTTCTGAAGCCATGCCGTAAATGTTCAATATGAAATAACCATCATACATCATCCTTTTCAAAAATTAATACGTTCTAATTTAGCTTCCATGTTACAAAGACATACCATAAAACAGTGGGTCTTTTGGTGGTTTTCTTTTGACAAGAACACGAGCCAACAGAGCAATAAAAACCAGAACCAGAAATCCAACTGCAACAATTGACCAGGAACTGTAACAGCATTAAAAAAAGAAAGGTGATTTAAATGAAAGGCAGAGACAGAAAAGTGCTTCTTCAGTTTTCCTCACTAGCTATCTTCAAATGACAAGCCCATTCTCACATGTACGTACTCTTCAAGTAACTTCTAATACTGAAAAGGCTTGTTTTTAAAATCTATTGCATATGCTGTCATAGTATTAATTTGGTAGTTTTGCAGAATGTGCCTTTTTATATGTGATCATCTAAAAAAAGAAAATACATAAATAGCTAGATAAACAACATATCAAGGAGTCTAGATTTGTCTGACTAAAATCAGTTTTCATACTGGTATCTGTAAAAATAAACAAAGATGATGGAAAATTTAAAGGCCAATGAGACGTGAAAGTCACAAATGCAGAGATTTCAAGGCCAAAAGGGATCATTAGGGACATTTAGTCCAACCTCAGCAATAAATTATCTACTGTCGAAAATACATATTTGCAAATAAAGGACATCAGTCTCATGGTCTCAGAGTAGCAGGGTGGAGCACCTATAATAGATCTAATGTCTAGTTTTGGAAGTGCTACCAAAGGTCCCTTGAGCCCTGTAAGGCAGGGTGGCTTGGGGTGGTTAAGAATCAGCACTTTGGCAGTAGCACAGGTGGGCTCTGCAGAGACCTGTTCTCTGAAGCTGCAGCTCTAATGCTAGTGCGTGAAAGAGGTAGTGCAGGAAAGCACCAAAGTCTTCGGCAGAAAGCAAATTTGTCTCTTCCCCCACAGAAATGTGAGTTAAGAAAATGTTTGAAATTGGCTTACATCTCTAAGGGTGTAAATTGTATCTAGTTCTATGTAAGACAGACTCCTCAGTCTTCACTTTTGTGCTTGTGCACAAGGGGAAAAATAAATAAATAAATAAAGGAGGGAAAACTTAGGTAAACTCCAGAAGCACAAGCTAAAAAATACTTCACATGATTTTTCACAGAGTACCTCTCTATGTCTATGTATCAAGAAAACAATTTATGTACCATCAAATAATACTGACGGTGACAATTTCAGCCTTAGTGAAACTTTATTTGAAATTACTGGAAAAACTTTGCCAGATCCCCTGTTTTGGTGTACAGACACATACGTGCTCAGTCATGATGAGCAGCGCTAGCCTGTGGATTTAGCTCATGGTTTGAACCTTTTGCTAGCCTGTTTTACTGGTGATGGGTTTCTTGTTGCCATTACAGCCGCTGATGATATTGCAGTGACTTTTCACTGCGGTTTGTCAATTTGAAACAAATATTGGCAATGAGTCAAGTAAGCCAGCATTTCTCTAGCAGTGAGAAACAAACAAACAAATGAAAAAAGTTACCGGCCTGGTGAAGGAAAATGAGGAAGGCACAGATGCGGCAAAGCCTTAGGAACACGAGCAATATATTTTTAAGCAATAACGTTGCAAAACACCCCGGGCTGTGAGACCACAAAATACCACACGGACCCTTAAGTACGTCGGTTTTCGCGTTTGTTTTGGTGATTTTTCCCCACGAGGGAGGACATTTCTTTTCTAGGCGTGCGGTTTATCCTGGGCTCCCGTGTTTTCGGGGGGCGAACTGTCTCTTTCAGCCAAACCCCGCACGTCTCCGGGGGGTGCCTGAGGCGTGCGGCTCTCAAGTTTGGCGAGCCGGGTGAGTCCTTCCTCTCGTTTTCAACCGGGGCTGGGCTGTGGCAGTGCCCCCGGAGCAGCCTCTCGGGGCTCGGGGCGCCGTGAGGGTTTCCTCGGGGCGGCTTCGCTCCCGCCTCGCTCCCTCAGGTGATGGCCGCGGGGCCCGCCTGAGGCGAGGCGGGGCCGAGCCGCTGTCCCCCCGTTCGCATCGCTCCCCTCCCGCCGCCGCTCTGCCCTCACCCCGGGCTCTTCCATCGCCTCCCGCCGGCCCGACCCGGACCCTCCTCGGCCCCGCAGCCGGCGCTGCCCTCACCGAGCGCCGCCGCTAAAAATACCCGCCGGGCTCCCTCAGCCTTCCCCGCGGGCGGCAGCCTCCCCACTCACCGACCTCGCCCGCCTCACCTGCCGCTGGCCGCCAGGCAGTTGAAGAGGTACGTGACGGGGATGGCGGTGAGGGAGAGGACGAAGACGCCGGTGGCCGCCGAGGCGCTCATCCCCGCGGCCGGAGGCTGCCTCAGCGAGCGCCGCGCATGGTCCGCGCCGCCTCAGCGCCTCCCGCCCCGCCGAGGGCCAGGCTCCCGCGGCCGGCCGGGCTCTGCCCGCCGCTCGCCGCCCGCCCCATCGCCAGCCCGAGCCCCGAGGCGGGCCGCCCCCTCCCGCCCCGCTCGGGGAAGGTTAAATCCGCCTCAGAAACCGGAGCCGCCCGTTGTTCCCCCGGCGGCGGGCGGGCCTGACCCTCAGCCTCAGCCCGGCCGCCGCCGTCCCCTCAGCGCTGCCGGCTCGGCTGAGGGAGCCCCGTCGGAAGGGGCAGAGCGGTGCGGGGCCGGGAGGAGCCGGGAGGCCGGGGAGAGCTTTGAAAAGTTCGGATTCCGAACTCATCTTTTCGCGTTTAAGTAACGAGAAAGAACAGGAATGAGGCCGTTAGCGCGTTTTCTGGCTTCCGAGCGTGTTCCGTGCGGGAGTGTTAATGCCATCAACTGTCCGTGCAAACAAAGGTGGGGGGAGTCTGCGTGTGAGGCAGGCAGAAGGGAAAACCGCTATTTCCATAATTCAGTGAACGTTTAAACACCGGGCAGTTGCGGGAGAAAACGGGCGTCCTGCACCACAAAGGGGAAAAAACTCGCCCAGGACGGAGGAGGAGGAGGAGGAGGGCAGTGAGGCGGCTGGGGAGACGGCACCTGTCCGTCAGGAGCAGGCTGAGGAGCTTGGCACACAAACGATCTCAGTAAATACTTGAGGAGTTAGCACCAGGGAGAGGAAAGAACTATTTAATTTGTAGGACAAAGCCGTGAAGAAACTTCCACGGTAGTTTTTGGAAACTGATTTTTAGCTGGAAACACTACAGGGTTTTCAAAATCTTTCACGACAAGAGTAGTGATTTAGGAAAAAAAAAAAAAAAAGAAAGAAAAAAAAAAAAAGTCAAGTCTTAAGATGTCATTTGGTAAGTTTAAGTTCAACAGATCAACTGATATGACTGCCTCTTAGAGAAAGGAACTTGACCCAGAACATATCTATACACTACGTACTATACACAAACTAATTCTTGCATAGTTATTTCAACTGAGAAAGGTCTAGAATCTGGCCATAGGAATACGAATAGATTAAACCATGCTCAATCAAACTATCTGGTAAAAACATGATGCAACTCCTAAAAGTAATCTAGTCCACAGCAAGTGTCAAAATTGCCATTGGATGAGTCAGGGCTAAATTTATCACCTCCAAATGCCTACCTTTCAATGCACAGCCGGTTTACTTCTCAAGCTTTCAAATGTATAGGCTGCTCATTTGTATGCAGCTGCCACAGAGCAGTCTCAAGATTCGTGTCTCAAACTTCTCCTGGTGCCTGTGTCCATACAGCCAAATGCCATGTGGAAAACTTCTTCCTTACCACTCTGTCAGCATATTCCAGTGCTGATTCGCACCATGATTGTTTATTGAGTCCTCTTTCAGCTTCTGAGTAGGAACTGTCAGGGCATATTTTTTGTGGTACATAAACGTCAGTAGAAGGGTTCACTGCTTGAATCTATTGTATTGAGATCTATCAAATTTTCATTAAATAATAAATTATAAGCATCTGCTGGCAGAAAAGATCCCTAAAATACGGCATGTTTGAAGTGTTTGTTCAAAAGCGCATGTTCTTTTCCTTACATTCTCATCTCTCACCCTGTGAACAAAGCACTACCAAGCCTTCCAGCTCCATTATTCCTTTCCATTTTGGACAGAGGAACACCCAAGTCCATCCATAATTGTACTGAACATGTGAAGTCTGCTATTCTGCCCTTTCCACTACAGAAATCTTTATTTCTAGTAGCTACAGATACTTCTCATTCCAGCTTTGCTTCTCTGTGCCAAAGTACCCTGGCTTCTGTTTCAGTCTTTATAAAGAAAATAACATCTCCAGCATTCTTGTTTCTCTTGGAGCTCTAGCAACTCAAAGCCACCAAACTGACCTTTTCCTCCAACAGCAGCTGTCTAAAAACTTTCCATCAAACAGAGGGTCAGGTGTGAGACCCTGAATTTTAGCTTTTCAAAGGGGAAAAAAAATGCGATTTTGAGTCTGAGTATATTGTAGTGTGACATTTTGTATATCAGACACCAGTTCTAGAAACTTGTTCAGTTAGTGCAGCCCATAACCACTGACCAACTTCCCCAACAGCAAAGAGTTCAAAACTTGGCTTTATGTCAAAAAAAAAATATAGTCAAAGAGCAAAGTGTCTTACTGAGTGTAAACCTTCAGTTTAAAAGCAGGAGTCCTCCAACACATGTATGTCCTAAAAGCTTAAAGTATTCTTGTGGAGGAGGAAGGGAAAAGAATTTCAACTGTATGTAAAACCCCATGTACCAGAAGATCAATATGAAAATGAAGGTAGGCATAGGGTGTCTTTAACAACATAATTACTAATCAGTGTACTAGAAAGTGGTGCTGATAAACTGCTGTCACCAGAATAAGCATAACCTCTCAGCTTCCTGTCACATAATCAATTATATTCATTTTTTTGTTGCTGGAAAAGCATTTTTTCTTTATTTTTCCTGAATTTTATAAATGGTAACATCTTTATGAGGCATGTGTGTGCCACTGCTTGTAGAAATTCATGCAAGTATTCAAATATTTAGCAACATTAGATATCAGTTTGAGATTGAAAAACAAGTACACCCCACTTAAACTGCAGCTAAGTATAGCAAAGCAAAATGGATTAACAAAAACTTGAAAATTTAGATTCCTTCCCATGCAGAAGTTGTCACAGAATCATACGTATTGCCCCATGTGATTCCTAGGGTTCTGGTCTTGCATTTCATCTGAAAGACAAGCTCTTCAGCAGCACAGTGTCAAGACCAATGATCCTTCACCACACTATAACATTCCTGTGTCAGAAACTAAGTGGTTTTTGTCCAAATGGTCATTTTCAGATAGGTAGCCCAATTCTTTCTCAAATCACCAGCCTTATGCCACATGATGGATTCCTCACTGGTAATCCTGTCCTCAGCAACAGACCAGATCCCCGTGTGTGGCCACCAGACTGGTGAGACTCAACTCACAAGCCATAAACTGGGGGTGGTGTTTGTCAGCTTCTTTGTTAGACTATTGCTGGATCAATAGTCTATATTTATAATACAGATGTTTCTCTTCAGTCTCTCTACTAAATGGCAGTAGATCAGTCTTGATGTCAGTACTAAGAAGGCATTTGTAAGTGTGCCAGCAAAAGAGTACTGTGGAGGACATAAATATGCTTATTTATTAATGGTCAGCTTCAAAATAGGAGACTAACTGACCACTAGGTCTTTGCGTCTACTTTTAGTCTGGGAAACAGCTCTTACCTTTAATAACTGCCTCCTAAATCAGAACAAATTGTAGAGCTTAACATTATATTGAGACATAGCTGATTTTATTTTAAATCAAAGGAATTAAATTAATCTATACAAATATAGGTAGGTGAACCTTAAGCAAGCACATGAAGATCAATGCAAGGATTAAGAGACTCTATTTATAGCTCATGGAAGCATTGCTCATGTGTTCGCATATGGCTCTGCCAAGCAGCAAACTTTCATTGCATTATGATGCCAGCTACAAAATACCATCCTGGTACAAAACGACTTGTGTCATTCAGTTCTATTGAGCTAAGCTGACAAATTCTTTACAGTATACTTCCTGTAAGTGCAATTACATTTTTAAGGCAGAAGTCAGTAGCCTATTGTCCAGAAAAAGATGGATTGAAAAAATGAAATGAAAGATGAATTGAAAGATGAATTAGAAGATGAATTAAAAGCTTCATGTTTGGGACTTTTGTTCCATGTGTTCATTTGCTGAGAGAGCAGCTTAGATCACATATAACTGCAACCTCCTTAAATCCAACCTATTCTATTTCTGAATTTCTGTTGTAACTCACAGAGTGCATGGTGCACCAGAGGCAATATAAAGTAGTTCATACGGTACGCACTGGGGATCAGGAGGGCACGTGCTAATGATCTGCTGAGGATTTGGGGGATTCTCCAGCAGCAGTCACACTAGTACAGAAGCAAGCAAGAAGGAGTTAGTGATCAGTGTTTATTTCATTTGCAAAACTCAGTATCAGTACCCCCAAAATAGAGCTGTGTTCTGTGCTATAGGCTGTTTACTAACCAGTGAATAATCTTAAGAGGGAAAGAGATATTTCAGAATAAATTTAATAGGCATTACAATAAAAGGAGTATGTATGTCACTTGTGCTATTTTACTTAAACTGCAAGTGGCAAGAGTGTGGCTTCTCAGTAAGAATCTTGTTAATCATGTGGAAATCAAAGTGCTAACTAAACACCTTGTTAGAAGTCGAGGAGCTGTGTGTGCTGTCTGAAATGCTACTGTGCCTCAACAGACTGCATGTACTTATCAGTGACTGAAAAGTAAATAGGTTCACAAAACATTTGCTGTTCAATCATAAAGATATGTTGCTAATAACTAATAAGTAATAAGAGATTTTTCCCTCATTTGCTTCCCCAGCTATGCAGTAACAGAACATACGTAGATATTTTAAAAATATGGCATAGTATAATAGTTTTCATAGGGCCAGCTATGTCAGTATTTGAAATGCAATTTAAAATAGATATGTGGTGAGTAGAATCCTCTAAGGCTTAATTAATTGGTTTCATAAATCACTTTCAGATAAGTGATGTAAAGAATATTATTTGTAGAGTATCTTTGGAATGTATAAATGTGCAGAATGAAAATGTGTAGAATGAAGATGTGCAGAATGAAAGCTGTCTCTGCAGCTGGGGTGTTGCAAAATTTCCATGTAATGTTTGTGCCAGCTTGTGCCAGATGTTTATACACATCTTTCAGTTAGGATTCTGAAAATATTTCCAGGACTATATTTATTAGCAGGAATGTTTATAGCAATGATGCACTACAAGCAACAATTACAATATATTAACAGAGATTAGGTAGAAATTATGAGTATTATCACTAAAAACTGGAGGAGTATATCAATATAACCGGGGAAACAAGGTACATAAAAACCTTAATGCTCCAGGAAAACTAAGCAGCACAGCAGAAAATGCACATTTAAATGCTCACATAAAAGAAGTACTTGGAGAAATGATAGGGAAAAGAATTATTGAAAAAAATTCCCTGACCTTTAGTGGTCCTCAGATGTAAAACTCAGATTTTGTTTTCTGTGCTTTCATGGGTCCAGAGATAACTTTATTGTTATTATTTGAAGGCATTGTTGCTACAGATTTACACATTTGAATAATTTTGAAGCTAATAGTGATTCAGTTATGTGAATGGAACTACGTATGTGTGGCATCCACAGCACTGGCATGGTAACAACTTCTAAGAATCTAATTGAGCACAGAAAGGAAAAGTTGTCAAATGGTCCCAACCGGAAAGTTTAATCAGAAACAAACCTATGATTTACGCTGAATTATTCTCTTCCCTCATGAAGCAGAGAAGGGATGCGAGCTGCTTATGAGAACAATTACTAATCCCTGTAAAAATATGTGCCAGCTCTAAAACTCAGATCATAACAAGGACTTAGAACATACACAAAGCTGAGTTCATGTGGGGAAACGAAGGAAAGGGAGGAGAATTTAAATAATCTCAGGAACAAAAGATTGAAAACAATATGCTTTGTAACCCAAACCCTGCTGATGGCTCTCACAGAACTGGCCGGGTTTAACTGGCAGGGAAGGACAGGGCCTCTGGGCAGGCATTCCTGTGTCTCTGGGACATCCCTGACATCACAAGTATCTCAGAAATCCCCACAGTTTGATCACCAAATTCTCCAGTTCTTCTACAGTGTATGTAAATCCAGTCTCTCTTCTACCTTCCTGATGATGGGTAAAGGAAGATCATAATTTAGGAAGCTCTATGAATTTCCATAGCAAAAAGACACAGCCTGAACTATCTCAGGCCATTACGTAGACCTTGGAAGTGTGTTGCTCAAAAGCGTAGGACACTCCCTGACCTTCTGTTTTGCTGGCCAGTGATCAAGACAACCTTCGCAGTATATAATATAATACTGTTGAACTTTTGTCTGCAGCCCTTGATTTGTAGCCATTCTGTTACATGAGATCAAACAAAAAGTTCTGCTTGGGCCAATTTGCAACCGCTTATGTTATTTTTTTTCTCTGTGTATTAATTTATACAATATTTCCTAGATAAAAACAGAGCATAATAATAAGAAAAAAAAAAAAAAAAGAAATGGGGCAGCATTTTAGCAACTTTCATATGTAACCCCTTTGGGGAAAAGCATTGTGCATTATTTCTGATTTGGACCAGTGAATACAATCCTGTGACATCATATTTAAAAACGGCTATGATCTATCTACTGACAATGCCAAAGAAAAGCCAGATGATTTTTTTAAAGAAGGAAAATGGCATGAAGATGAAACAAGGTTTCATCTTACAAGGTGAAACAAATGTCTGAGGCTTATTGGCTACATGAAGAAAAAAAAAATCAAGGGAAATTTGTTATTTAATATTCTCTTAGCTCTCACTTCCAAAACTGTTTGAATTAATCCATTTAGCTTTTAGCTTAACAAGTCTGATGGGTATCAAGGTCACATTTCTCCTTTCCTTTGTCTCTTTTCATGTTTGTTTATTGTTTTTGTTTTTAGACACTGGATTTCTTTCATACTATTTTTATTGTTGTTCTTTTCCTCATTTTCACTCTCAACTTTCTTTCTCAGGCTGTTTCATGGGTCTTTATCATTATTTCTTTTAATTTTTATTTTTTTCTTGCATAGCTTTTTCTTTCTATGATTATCTATGAATATCTTACGTATTCTGTCTGCCCCAGCCACTGTTCTTTTAATTTATTGGCCCACCTTTCCCCCTTTTTTTCCTCAGCCCTCTTCCAGCCTTGTTAACTTTCTCTGGTGTGTTAATGACAGCATGTGTGCATTTTCACAGTTCTGTATAAGCAGGACAGTTGTGTCTGTTGGCTCTCAGTTGACAAGCTAACTTGTCAGTGATCACAGAAAGGTAAAAGGAGAAAGACAACAATGCAGGAAACTCATTAATGTCCAGATCATCCTATAACAATATATATATATATACTCCCAGAAAACATTTTTTTTCTGTCCATGTTGTCACCATTTTCCTCTTTTTTTTCCTTTGCCCATTTTGAGTGACAAGTGATTCTTTTCATTTTTTAAAAACTCCCCCTAAAATGGATTCTCAAGATGATCCTTTGGGGTTCCCCAGAATGGAAATGGTATGAGACAGCAAAGCAGCAAGCTGCGGTACATCTCAGCTTCCTGAGCTTCCAGTCCCTAACCTAGCAGAGGAAATTTGGGTTTCTTCCCCTTTCCTCCCTTTGTCCACCTTGGGACCAGGAAAGTGCAGAGGTGCTAGCTTCGTTCTCCCAAGTCAGCAGCATGACTTTACTTTTAAATATAGCCTGTGTGCAAAGCTGCTTGCTGCTTTATGGTTGGTATACTATATCTTCTTGTGCCCTTTGCCCTGCTGAAATTGCTTCCATCTTGCTTAAGGTTCTCTAAAATTTGTTCTGCGAAACAGACCACATTTGCTCGGTCTCAGTTTTGTCCTAATTATAAACCTAAACGCAGAGCGGTGACATATTATATTCCTCTTTTAGCCACACGCTTCCATAAATGCTGACAAGCCAGGAGCTCTGATAAACAGCCCTCAGCTCCGTGATTTACATCGTGCTGCATTTCCAGCAGAGCTCCAGCAGATGGCAAAAGGATCCGCCTTACTTTCCAGCTTGACAGGACTGTGACAACGCAAACCTTTTCCTCCCTTTCCAGAAGCCACTAACGTAGTAAAGTAAAAAATAAAATAAAATAGATCCATTTTTTTTCAATATTTGCCGAATTAATTCACCAACTTAGTGACCTTAGACGACCAGTCCCTGGTCCAAGGATGTTAAATTTGATGGCTGCTGATTTAGACAGAAAAAAACTGTGCTGTCTACTACATTCGCTATTAGTAAGTTTTGCTTTGGAAACCTCCTGGGAAGTATAAAATGTCAGACATGAAGGCACACTTTAAATAGACCACTTTGTGTAAAAATTTTAAGGTGCACATAGCAACAGTCATTCATATTCTCAAGTTATCTCAGAAATAGTTTAAAGGGGCATCCATATATGTGTTGAGTGTTATTATAAGGAATCAGGCGTTGTAAAAGTGAATTTGCCTTTCACAAGCCTTAACCGGAGAGCCGTTAACTTTTACTCAGCCACACACAGAAATACATTTCCATGACTGCACAGCCGCCTTTTGCCTTTTTACGGCCTAGGCCGGCTCTCCCCACTGGAACTGCATTCCCACTGCACGCGGGGACACCGCACTCCCTCAGACAAGTGACAAAAAGTGACAAAAGTGACAGAGGTGACAAAGTGCCAGAAGGAACGGGCGGGCCGGACCCCGCTCCCCTCAGCCACCCGCGCGGCCAGCGGACACCCACGGCCCCACAGGGAGGCTGCGCGGGGCGCATGCGCGGCGGGGCTGCCTGAGCGCCCGGCCCGGCGCGGCGCGGCCCCCTCAGGGCGGCGATGGCGGCCGCCGGTGGCGGCGGTGCGGGGGCTCCCGGGGAGGCGCCTCCCGCCGCTCCCGGTGCCGCCGCTGCCGCAGCTTCGGCCCCCTCCGCCGCCCCCACCGTTCCCACCGCCTCCCCCGAGAGCGGCGCGGTGCTGCAGCGGGAGCCGCTGTACAACTGGCAGGCCACCAAGGGCTCGCTGCGGGAGCGCTTCGCCTTCCTCTTCTCCAACGAGCTGCTGAGCGACGTGCACTTCGTGGTGGGCAAGGGCGGCCCCCGCGGCGGCTCGGGGGGCGGCGGGGGGGCTCCTCCCGGGCCCGGCCAGCAGCGCATCCCCGCCCACCGCTTCGTGCTGGCGGCCGGCAGCGCCGTCTTCGACGCGATGTTCAACGGCGGCATGGCCACCACCTCGGCCGAGATCGAGCTGCCCGACGTGGAGCCCGCCGCCTTCCTGGCGCTGCTCAGGTCGGGACGGGGGTGGGCGGGGGGGTGTGGGGTGGGGGTGGCCCCCACACGGCGGCTCCCCCCCTGTCAGCTCCGTCCCCTCAGCCTCGTGAGCTGCCGGGGGTCGGTGCCCTGAGCCCCATCCCGTTTGTCGTCCCCCCCCCCCCAGGAGGTGCCGAGGGGCCGCCCGGCAGCCGGGGGCTGCACCCAAGGTCACGGCGTCCTGCTCCGTGCCTCCTCCCTGCGCATCCCTTCCCAGCCCGGTTTGGGGTCCGGTGGCCCCGCAGGATGGGACGGGGAGGGGCTGATTTGGCTTTTTGGTTTCATCTTTTAATGAAGGTGATGGGAATTGGTGGTTCAGCAATCCCAGAGTGTCGCAACCGCCCATCCACCTACTGATGGCTGAGAAGGAACCGAGGCTGTACTGGGCTTTTAATTTCATTTGATAACTTACTTTGACAACTTACTCATCTTGCAGTTCTCTCATCTTTTTCAGCAGTGGTAGCGAACTGTGTCCGTTCACCAGAGAAATGCCTATTGCAGGCACACATTTCAGATACTTTGGGTGGAGAGCGCAGCAGCATGCAGTTAGCTAACAGCTTACACGCAAACCACCCAGGGGAGACCATGAGTGCAGTGGTGGGGAAAACGTATGCAAAATGGGCTACTGATGCCTAATATCTATTTAATCTTAAAAAATTTTCACAAGAAACTCCTCTGCTAGGCACAACATCTATAAAATGTATTAAACAGGTATCTGTAATGCACATTTTGAAGACAAATGTCATTGCCTGGAAGGGAATTTGTAGTGTTTCAGAGCTTTCTGTTATGCAATAAGGGCCCAAATCTTAACAATTTCTTTTTGTTTGGAGGCCGAGAAGAATCAGGGGGTCCTTTTAGTAATCATGGAAACGGGAGCTACAGCAACTGATTTTGCTTTAAAAAGTACACAGCAGCAACTTCTCTCTGTGGCTCTTTAGCAAATAAACTGTATTTTCTGGTTTCTCAGCAAACAGGGAGTGGTAAAAATGTAAGGTGAAGTGCTTGTGTAGCATGCTGGGAAGTGTCTTTCAAGCAAAAATTGTTACAAAGGTTAATAGCAAATGAATGAGATGTGTGTCTGTATACAGATACAGAAAAAACACCAGGCAGTGAAAAATGGTTATGATGAGAGAAGTTTGTTTGGATTAAATATACAAATGCAGAAGCAGGAGGGTGAGAAGGGTAGTGTTGGAAAATTGTAGAAGTAAGCAAAGCAAACAAAAGGCACCTTGTGTCTGTAGAGCTGCTGGTACATAAGGGCAGGGCACTTGCTTAAGTAAGTTGATTATACCTGTATCTGGTCTAAATATCACCAGACTGAACTGAAGTGTTTCAGGTTTGATGTATGTATGAAATAGTTGGCAGCTTTATAGAACTTTCTCCTATATTATAGATACGTATTTAGAGTGAACTTGTTCCAATTACAAGGCCTCAAAAGAGTCCTGTATTGTTATTTTTCTGTCACTACCTCCCTAGGTCAGGAGTAGGTAACCTGCACGCCTGCTGCCTTCCTTGGATCTGGTAGCATCCCTTCAAGCTCCCTCTTCAGAATCAAACCCTGATATGTGTACACCGAGCTTATAATGGTATAATAGAAGTTGCAACACCTTGTTAGAAACATATCTAAGGAGAATTTCTTTAGTACAGACTAGTACCAGACTTCTTCCATGCTCTTATACACAGATTTAAGGTCCCTCAACTATAAGACACCCTGTTTGTTTTTTTCATGACTTGCACCTTGCATTGTTGGCCTCTTATCTGTCGTTAGTAAATTGGTCAGGTAATGATGGTTGTATTTTATAGGGCACTTCTTTAATCTTTGCAAAAACCAATTTGAAGTGTAATAGCTAGGTTGAGACATTCATATTCCTAACAAATGAACATCAAGATAAAAGAAACATCAAATTGATGCAAAAACTTTTAGGGATAATTTGCTAATTACTTAACATTCCACAGCTAATTTCTGGTTTTGTTTACATATGTCTTTTGTTGTGTTCTATCTGTAGTTATGTTTCTTAAAGATCTATTGACCAACGCTTCTTATAGTGTAAAGCCAAAGGCAGAGATGTTTGTGATGAAAAAAGTTCAGATTTTCTTAAATTCATTCCACGTCCAATGAGATAGACTGGTGTCTCCCTGTCCTGTGATGTAAATGTTCCTCAGTGTTAGTGTTGTGTTACGAAATAGATTGTGGATTGAATTAGATTTATGGGGAAGAAAAAAGGAGCTAGATACTGAACATTTTAAACACCAGATAGTCACAAATTTGAAGTGACATCTCTCTCTTTCAATTTTTCTTTCGGATATATTCATATCCTCTTTTAAAATGGCTACAATTGCTTCTATTTTATGATCAACCTCTAAAATACTGATTTTTTTTGAGTTAAGTTATTTAAAAATAATGAACTGAATCTTTAATTGATAGTACTGCTTAATTTCAGTAATAAATTCTAGGGTTTCCTTTTCTTTTTTTCCTTCCCCTTGAGAAATTTAGGTAGTTCTCCTTGTTTGTTGGCTAAAATCTTGACTGTAAAGATGGCAAGAAGGGAGACTGAGAACTGACTGGGCAAGGAGCACGAACGTTCATAGAAAATAATTGGCTGAGCTCAAAGACGTAGAAATGACTGATGTGTGTTTTGGCTTGCCACCCAGTATTCCTTTTGCCTGAAGAGTTTTCAAACATGAGCCACAGAAGCTTTTTTTAAAGCAGCTGACTGCTTCAGTAATTTGTCGGATAAATCCCTAAGAAGTGAAGTAATGTGAGTGCCAAAATTTGAATCTGCTTTCTCTAATTCAGACTTAATAATATTTTTTTTTCCCCCTGAACGTTTTGACCTGCACAGATTGAATTGCAGTGATCCAGGACATTGAAGTGGACTCGTACTAGGGTACTGTGGTGTAGAGTTTGGTTTGTAGTCAGATTATTTTTGTTCGTTTCCGTTCACATACATTTTAAAATAATTTAACTTGTCCTTTGTCATAGTATAAAGGAAAGTGACAACGTGACACTAATTTAGCAGTTCATTTTCCAAATGTCTTTGCTGAGGACTTTGGCAAGCAGTAAATAGAGGGTTAATCATGACCAACTGGAAGAAGACTCCTGTGTTTTTTAGAGTGGTGAAAATACTTCAGCTGGTGAAAATTCTTCAGCTGGAAGATGCTGGGACTAGGGGATAAAGAAGTGCTAACCTGAGAGTAAAGAAGTTGTGTAAAACTTGAATACGTAGGCAAAATGAATGCTGAAGTAGTCACTTGGAAAATTCTTTGTTTGGGTCACTAAAAATGGTCTATGCACCCATCTGCCATCCTGGATGGCGGCACAACTGGTCAGTATCTAAAGTGCAGGTTATTTTCTGTAAGTCTTGAGAGGAGGGAGGAGGAGAAGTGATCATGAGCCCCACTGGGCTGAGTGGAGGCAGAGCAGTGGTGTGAACACAAAGGAGTGCTAGTTCAGGCGTGCCACAAGTGGGAGAGGCAGCACAGAGACGGAGCTCCTGGCACAGGAGCAGAGGGATTTTTAGAGAGAAGACACACCTAGAGTTCCTCTTTTATGAGTAGGTGAATGCATCATGACCGTCCGTCCGTATGCTAAAGGGAAACAGGATTATACAACATCCTAGAACAACGCACTTTATTACGATTTTTGTAGCGCTTACAGCTACCTTTCAGCTTTGCAAATTCACACTTTTTAGTACTTGCAAAAGACTACTGGTTGGCTTTGAGAATACTGATGTTGTCAAAAACTTGGAATATTGAACGCGCAAACACACCTGACTATGTGACGTTCTTAATATACTTGGATACTCCTTATCAGGAGTTTACTCAGTTTAAAAGTATGTAACTGTATCACATGTCCTGTTGCTATGCGTCCTCACACCCTTCCCTGGTGCATCATGAAGTCTAGGTGATGGACTTGGTGCTGGGTAACTTTCAGTTGTCAGAGCTTTAACCGTTGGAAGTCCCCTCACTTTTGTCATTGACATGCACTCAGATGGGGAGTGTCTCTTAATGTACGTCCAGGCGTGCAGCAGGGAAGGGATCGTAGCAGAGAGCCTCAGGTATGTCCTTCATGGAATAAAAAAGCATCCTGCAGCTAGCAGAAGTCACATGAATGAAAAATTTTGGCCATGTAATTGATTTTTGATCATATGGGGGGGGCGGGGGGGGGAAATCCTACAAAGCTGAGCAAAGAAGCATCAGAGAAAAGTACAGTTTGGAACTGCGCCCTGATTCTTATAAAGTGTACGAAGTGAACCAGTCTGTTTGCTGGCCACAGGTTGGACGCATCTACAAAATATAATCAAGGTTGTGTTCCAAAAACAATTTGGTGAATTTTATTTTATTTTTTGGGGGGATAGAATTTAGTAAAACCTTGTAGTGTCTGTATGTGGTAATGGCACTCTTTAACAGCCTCTTAATTTTTGACACTTATGTCATCTTTGCCTCCAAGCTCTCTAAAATCATACAAGGAATTTTAGGACATTTTGAAAAGGACTTTTAAAAATGTTAAAACCAAAATCGTAATATGCTATTCTGTGCTTTCATGAGCTAATTGTCAATTTGGTTTACAGAATTGCATGTTGAAAACTGTACCTACTACATCTTAGTTTCTTAAATTTGTCAGTGATTGTGGCTGGCAAAAAAAGCCTATCATTTTCATCAACTAATAGTTTATGACTTTCATAAATCAGTTCTAAATGAGCTGTATGAAACTTGTACTGACAAGTTCAGTGTTCAGTTAAACTCCTTTCAAAAAGCTTTGATGTAAATTCAGTTTAAAGGATTAATCTGGAGCCTTGTTCAGATTTCCTAAATTATGTGAAAGTTGGCCATTTGAATGGATTAGATTATTGTAATGATAAACACATACCTGTAAGTGGCAGTGAATTCACTTGTAGGCTGTTATAAATATTCATTCATACTGATACACAACTAAAGAGTTAGCAATTACAAGGAATTAGGGTTTTCTTACAAGAAACAAAAATAGTGAATAATTTTATCTGAAACTATTGTTCCATTTTTCCATTACTTAGGTCTCCCAATGTTGCAGGCAAGTTTGAGTCTGTTCCTTTCACAAGTTTCTTCTGTTAAATACAAACTGATTGTTATTATTATGTTAAAAACCCTTCTAATCATGCCTTCCTTCTCAATGTGGTGTTTGCCATTCATTTCCAGGAGGTCCAAACAAAAAATACTAAGAAAACATAAAAGATTTGTTCTTCCCTGTACAATTCCTGCATTTGCAAATGTGCCCTGGTTTATTATATTTAATCAGCTGTGTGTGTTGCAGGGGGGAATGTGTTTGTGTAGTACAGATATATTTCTGTAAATGACAGAATAATCTTGATTATTGTCTGAAAACCTGGTGAAATAACGATAAGATTATCTTCAATGTCATCTGAAAGAAAAGTTTATTTTTAAAAAGTCATCTTTTCCATACAGAACCTCAAAATAAATCTTATCTTGTCTGGTTTCAAGTAACAGCTGCTCAGGAAAGAGATATTTTTTTTTCCTGGTTTTGGTGGAGACTTGTATGGTTTGGTTCACTGCTTTATGCTGAAATCTCAAGCAATCATATAACCTCAAGCAGTGGAGAGAAGCCAGGTTTTTTTTCCTATGTCAGTCTGCAGCAGGAATAGAGTCAAGGTCATCTGTTAGAATATTACTCCCTTTCCTCTCCTCTGAATGCTGGAGAATGGTGACTGTCACACAAGATGTTATCACAGTAGAAGTCCTTGACGCTCTTCTCCTTATTGTGAAGAAGCTAGTATGCACTTTCAGTAAATTAAAATCAGTAATACAGCCGTAGAGGGTTATGTATTGATACTTAGGAATACAGCTTTTAGTAGTGAATCAAAAGAGCGTGCATTAATACGCTAAGCAATTCTGCAGCTCAGCTGTTGTTTACAGTTTGGTAGCTATGTATAACTAGCACAGCCAGATCAGTCTTAGGGAGTAATGTGTATTTAAAACAAATGTATGCCATTAGGTTAATGTAATAGTCTTTCTTCAACCCTTTAGTTAGTTTATTAATTTGTAAAAATGCTACATGGTGAACTGTTACATGTTTGCAGTGCAAATCTTTTACCTGCTTTGTAAATGTAAAGAGATTATGTTGTGCTTGACGGCACTTCAAGATATGTTTTTATTATATCTATCTGTGTATTGATTTCTAGGTTTCTTTATTCAGATGAAGTTCAAATTGGTCCAGAAACAGTCATGACTACTCTTTACACTGCTAAGAAGTATGCAGTCCCAGCCCTGGAAGCACATTGTGTGGATTTTCTGACGAAGCACCTCCGAGCAGATAATGCCTTTATGCTGCTTACTCAGGTAGGTGAATTTAAGTTTAGTTTTGGTTTACCATGAAAATTGGTAGTTGGATGGGAATAACCAAAAATATTACTTGACAGGGGGGTTGCCATCACATCGTTTAATTTATGTCTGAAAATACCTTATTGCTTTGTTAGCATTTTTACGGACTTGTCTTGGCTTTTATTGGTAATGTAGAGGATTTTTTTTTTTAATACACAGTGTACTGGGACATTTCAGGTGAGACCTGTGTATTCTACAGTGAATATCCTAATTGTTTTTTTGTTTGTCTTTATGAGATAGTTCACTATAGTAGATTTGATATGTACTTTTTAAAGTTATATTTCCAAAACTAAAATTATAAGCATGAAGGAAACCTTGTATGCAGTGCATTCTCCTCAATTATATTCTCCTTTGAGAATGTAAGTGCTCTAGAAGGTATAAACACCAGGCACTACTTAGACAAATCAGCCTATTTTGATTTAGACCTACATTGAGTTAAAAAATACTTGCTTCTTAGAATTAGTGATTTAGCAGCTTGATGCTTGCAACAGTGCAGTAACCAAAGCTATACTCCTTTACTTTCTCAGGCTCGTTTGTTTGACGAACCTCAGCTTGCTAGTCTGTGTCTCGACACAATAGACAAAAGTACCATGGATGCAATAAGTGCAGAAGGCTTTACTGATATTGATATAGGTAAGTTCCTTCTTGTGTCCTAAGTGTTAAACTTCCAAAGGGAATCATACTGTTTTATTGCTGTGTGATACTTCTCTCTCTTCAGGGTTGCACAAATCAGGTACAATGTGTAGAATGTTTTTTTTTGTGTGTTTTTTAAATATAAACTGGCTTAGAATTCTCCTGGTAATTCTGCTTTCTATACTTTTTCCCTTTACCAAAAGCCAGCAGTTGTATGTTTGGTTACTTAAACTTGATTGTTACTATATATGTCTACGATTTTACTCCAGATCAGCTAGATTGTATCCCAAACTCAGACTGAAGAAAGGTATTCCAACTGCTTAAAGGAATTGTAAAGTCATTGTTAACTTGTGTTCAGTGAGTTTAGACCCAAACTGTGAACATTAATCTCTACTCTCGATAAATCTCAATCTGTTTTGACTTGTGACTTTTCTACTGACAGCAAACACGCCTCACTCAAATTCAGGGCATGTAAAAAATCCTGAAGACAGAAGATTCAGAATGTGAAAAAACACTTTTTTTTTTTTTTTTTTTTTACAGCTCATGTTCTATATTAAACTGAGAGTTGAGCAAACTAAACCTTAAATAATCAGTAGAGACTTTTTGCATATGCTCTTCCTAAAATGTCAGAACATGTAAGAAATACAGGAAAAGTTGCTGTTGTAAAATGCAAGTGAGAGTAGCTTGCCTGACATCCTGTGTTCCACCTTAAAACTTTGTGGGAGGCAAATGCGTCAATGTTTAAGATCACTTTCATGTATGTTTAAACTGGTTTTGTGTGCACTGCTGCTTCTTGTGTCTACAGTTGGTTGAGATTGGCAGGTGGATACTCGGCTGAGAACGTGACAGTGTTGTCATGAATAACTGGAGTGGTATTGTACATTCAGCACTGTACTTGATCAGCTGCCAGCTTTGATCTTGCCATAGCCATGGAAGTTCTTTAGGGTATTTATTGGTTGTCACTACATAGCTTATGTAGTATATATATACATACATACATTTTATATATATATATATATATACACACACACACACACACACACACACCCCTATATATCCTATACTATAGGACCATTAATATATAGATTATCTATAGCCACACTCTTAGGAATCAAGAAAAAAGTTTATATGCTGTCTTCGTGGCAGAAAGAGGAAGGATTATTTTATTTTATTTTATTTATTTTTTAGCTTGGACACCTGCACACTGTTGGGAGACTTCTCTAGTCATAAGACACGTTTTGCTGGTATTATAAAATTTCTGAGTGTTTATTTGTTTAATGTTTTAAGCTTATTTAAAATGTGTAGAATTGTTTTGGATTAATATTGATTCAAATCTGTTAATATTTTTTCACATAACACAGACACATTGTGTGCGGTTCTAGAAAGAGATACCCTTAGTATTCGAGAAAGTAGACTCTTTGGAGCTGTTGTTCGTTGGGCAGAAGCTGAATGTCAAAGACAACAACTGCCTGTGACATTTGGAAACAAACAGAAAGTCCTTGGAAGAGCTCTTTCCTTAATTCGTTTTCCATTAATGACTATTGAAGAGTTTGCAGCAGGTGAGTTCTGGGGTTCTTTGTCCTACTAGTTCTGCACAATAGTTCTGCACTGCTCATCTGTGAGTGTTGAGATCCTTAACGCTCTATCCTGTTATTAATACTGTACTAATAAACATTGTGATTCAGTCTTAATGAAAGCAAATATCCTGCAGAACATGGTCTGGCCATTGGAAAATGTTATTCCTATCCTTGGTGTGCTAATTCACGTGGTTTAAATATGACAGTTGAATTAAGTCTTAGAGTTATCTTGGAAGTTTTTTCTTTTCATAGGCCCTGCTCAGTCTGGAATCTTGTCAGATCGGGAAGTAGTAAATCTCTTTCTGCATTTTACTGTCAATCCTAAGCCAAAAGTAGATTATATTGACCGACCAAGATGTTGCCTTAGAGGAAAAGAATGCAGCATTAACAGGTTCCAGCAAGTGGAGAGTCGCTGGGGCTACAGTGGAACAAGTGATCGGATTAGGTATGGCTTTGGAAACTATTTGAAGGGGAAACAGAGAAGTGTGGGAAGAAAGGCAGTGGTATTATTCAACTTCCAATTTTTGGCATAAGATACAGTAACAGACTAGCTGGTACCGTTTGGGCACATCTAATCTTTTCCTTTTATAAAGTAACTTAGGCTGTTGCACTGATGAAATATAAAGGAGCAAAGAACAAAGTTCAAAAGGCCTGGGTACTTTCTAGAGGGGTGGGGTATTCGCTACATATCCAGTTTTAAGTTACAAAGGATATTGAATATCTCTAAAATAAAAACAGATCAAGAATCTGGTCATTTTTCATTTAGAAATCCTTAATATTATACATATATATTTATATACGCTTCGGTGGATTCACAAAGCTTTATGCTATAAAACTGATTAAAATAATAATAATAAAAAAACACTTTTATTTTTACTATTGAAATCTAAATAGAAAACACTATTGAAAAATATTAATGCAATGTCATTTTCAGTTTGGTTTTGCACTCTTCAATGGGATTCTTTTTCTTCCTTGACTGGGAAGAAGGTAACACACTCATCACAGTTGTTTCAATTCCTTTCTTGGCTTGTGTTTTACTAGATTTACAGTTAACAGAAGAATTTCAATAGTGGGATTTGGATTATATGGATCTATTCATGGACCTACAGACTATCAAGTCAATATCCAGGTACAGTATATTCTGTTGAAATAGGCTTATGCAGAAACTGTGCTTAATACAAAAGGTTTGCTGTATATCTAAATAGGATAGCAGTCTGATAGGCAGGAATCTAAGCTGTATTTTATATCCAACAGTGTCATAAGCAGATGACTAGGGAAAAGTAAGTACAATACGAAACTTTTCTTCCTATCCACTCTAGTCTCTTGTCCTTCGATCCTTTTCAGAACAGGCTTTTCCTGAGACTGATTTGGTCTCTCTGTTTAGTAACTCCCTAACACTTGTCCAGTGTAACCTTGAATTCCTGTAAGGATGCCCTTTTTTATGTTTACAGTAATAGCCCTGTGCAGTTTAGTCATGCCAGCTTTCTTCCCTTTTCTCAAGCCTTTCTAATAGGTGATGTGTACCAGTACTGTACTGAGGAGTGTGATGTCTTTTAGTAGTATGCTAAGTAAAAGGATTTGATTTTCTTAATTGTTTATTTTAGCTTCTTTTGAACAAACTTCCCCATTTTTCTTTTTGATGTTTAGCACAGCTGTGGTGGATTTGCTTTTGTTGTTCATGTAGGAACGCTGACTCTAAGTATATTATAGACAGTGTTACATAGTGTTTCCATTATGAAATTGTGAATCTGATCCTACTAATCACTCAGTACCAAATCAAGGGTTGCGTTTCTTCCTACTGAGCAATTGGTTAGCAATCTCATGAAATGGTCAGTGATAGTATCTAAAAATGTCACCCCTGCTTCGTGTCCTGATATGACACTTGCCTAGTCTGAGAGGGTAACTGAAGACACCACTAAAATTGTATTTCCTGCTCCTGTAGCCTGTCTGATCTCTGTTAGCATGTGTGATTAGGATTGTCTTCTAGTAATATTGATCCATCACTGTATCTTTCCCTTTTTAAGTATGGAATTTCGGTCCATTTGAATTCTCTTATTGAGTTTAGTTTTGATTTGTTTCTAAGCTTTCTAGCAAGGTATTAACATTCTGTGGCTGACACAGTTACTCGGTGCTGTGTATTTCATAACCCACTAGCTTCATCAACATCACGTTAAATCAATATCACGTTGATTTACTAGGTATGTGGAATGTTTTGAGCAAGAATCCGTGACTTCATTTGGGGACAGATGTCCCCATTTTATTTTGTAGACTTCTAGCATGTGTTGGAAATGCTGTTCCAGTTTTTTTTCTTGGCATCCTATTTAAAGGGCAGTTTATTTGTCTTCTGTTTCCCATTTGATGATTACTGTTCTCTGACCATTGTGTACTTAAGTATAGGAATTTTGTGCCTGTCTTCTGCAGGGGGAAAAAAAATCTTTCCTTTTATGATGTTCCAAAGAGAGTTTATCTGGGTTGAGGTTTTGAAGGAATTTGTTGGCTTTTCCACATTCCTCAGTTTAAAAACTCACTTGCAAATCCCTTGATTTGAAACTATTAATTTGTTTTTCTCAAACTATACATCTGTGTAAATGAGTAGTATAGTGCACTCAGGTGGATCTTCAGAACGAAAAATTTAGCTGCTAGGTCATCAGTACCACACTATACTTACTGGGGGATTTTTACTTTTCATTAACTCTTGTTTGATTCCCTTAGACTAAATTCCTGTTAGCAGATGAAAGCATTTTGTGTGGTCCCTCAATATATTTGCTGGATTTATTTCATCTGAAAAGAATTTAGTTCTTGCAAAGCAAACCAAAGCATGTTAAGTAGGAATGATCAAGAGACTCACTTGAGAAACACTCCTGATCCAAACTGACAGGCTAATGCACCTTTATGGTTCAGATGAAGGCCACCCATCCTCTACAGATTTTCTTTACTCTGAAACTATCTCCAGTTCCTGATGAACCCGAAATTTTGTCCTTACAGGCAGCCATTTAAGTTGTCTCTGCACTTTTCATTTTGAAAGTACATACAATACTAGCAGAGCTTCAGAAAAAAAAAAAAAAATCTTTTATACTCGCCTTAAAATAGTAAGCAATGTATTTGCAATATACATTACTTTGTTAAAGGGGCATATGCCTTCAACATTAGAATTGTTAGTATTTCTTTTGATTGTGACTGGAAAAAAAAAATTGAAGCCCTGTTTGAGGCAAAGTATGCTCTCATTGGTGCAGTAATAAAATTTTATAGTGATTTAATAAAATTGTTAGGATTGTTGTTAGTGGAGTAATCATGAGCAATATTTGTGTACCTCTAAAGCTGTGGTATCCTACTTCTGCAGGAGATGTTCAGCAGAATGGATCAGAAATTGCTATCCAAAATGAGAAGTATGATATCTGCTATTTCTGACATCTCAGCTAAAGATTCCTATTTGCCACTAAGACTGAAGGCAAAAGAAATATGTGGTCTGAGTGTAATTTTTATACTGAATGTGAAGTAGAAATAAATTGTATAAAACATCGAAGCACAAGTTTTTGTTTTCTTCTTCGAATATATCATTGATTGTTCACATTATCTGTAAAAACTTGTTTTCTAAATGATCCACAGCCTGTGAAGCATGTGGGTCCAGCCTCATGTGCTTCCCTCATGGGGGCTGTGTAGGTGTACAAAGATCAGCAAATCTAAGTATAGGATCATACGTAGTTTATTAAGGTCAAAAGCTGAAGGTTTGAGCTATTCTTCGTCTCCTCTCAGGCAAAGCTATAACCTGGTTGGAGCAGCGCTGTGGGCTGAGTTTAGTGCACAGATTGGACAGCCTGTGCAAAAATGCAAAAGCCATGGTTCACCACACCGCAGGGTCAACCCTCACAGTATTGTTAGGGAACTGCACTTATCTCAATTCTGAAACTGCACTATTGTTGCAATTAATCTGGGTGGAGTAGGCAAGTGTTTCGCTTGTAATACTCCAGTGTGTGTACAGTAAGAATCTTTCTCAAGCTCATAAATCTAAAGATATGTTTTTCATGTCTTTATGCAGATAATTGATTATGAGAAGAATCAAACACTGGGACAAAATGATACTGGATTTAGTTGCGATGGAACTGCCAGTACATTCAGAGTCATGTTCAAAGAACCTATAGAGATTCTGCCAACAGTTTGCTACACAGCTTGTGCAACATTAAAAGTAAGAATGCTCAACAGTATAGAAGAAAAAGCTAGTTTTCATCCAAGGGTTTGTCTTTTGTCTAATTTCTGATGGGAAAGTGTATAAATAAATACAGATTTTTTTGTTGTTTTTATTTTTTTATTTTTTTACTGTTAAAATAATTAAGTGTTTGAAATTCAAAATTTTATGGGTCTTGCTGCACATTTTCATTCAGTTGCTAATGTCTTCTGGTGTTTTTCAGGGTCCTGATTCCCACTATGGAACAAAAGGATTGAAGAAGGTAATCCACGAATCTCCTACTGCTAGCAAAACATGCTTTGTCTTTTATAGTTCGCCGGGTAACAACAATGGGACATCAATAGAAGATGGACAGATACCAGAAATAATATTTTATACATAATTTCACACAATCGTCTTGAATGTGTCAGTGTATCATTGGACTTTAGCTCACTATTGGTGACAGTAAGACAAGTTCTGTGAAATGACATGAATGTGTTAAAACAAAACTAACTTGTTTGAGAGGTACTGGGAAAGCTATTTTCTCTGCGTCATTGTTAGCAGAATGTAATTTAGCTTTTCCTCTTAATGAAGCATCAAGTGGAATAAGTACTCTGTATATTGAAAAGATTGTTTTAAATAGTATGTTGTGATTAATGGCTTTGTATTTTGAACCCTTTATTTCTCACCTAGTAGAATTCATTTCTTGAACTGGAAAATCTGTACTAGTTATGAGCTTCACATGTACATTTTCCCCAACTTGTCCTAAAAAGTAACTCTGCTGCTCTATACCAGCTTGCACTTCTCTCCAAAATAACCTTGGAATGACCCTAAGGACACGAATTACTGCTATGTATGTATATTATTTTGTTTTGGAAGTACATCAGCAAAGCTGGATTCATATTGCTATCATCTAGATGTTTTGGATGAACCATGGAGAATTAATGGACTTAACACTCCAGACAGCAGCTGCAGCAAAGAAAGATGAAGTCCAACTCTGCAATAAATGGATCTTTCCCGAATCTCTTAATTTAGAAGGGCTGTTTTGGAACACAGAGCCGGTTATGGACATAGCCACTGTATATACATATGTGCCTATAAGAAAATGTATAATGTGAAAACGGGAGTACAGGACTTGTAATGATGCTATTTTGACTGGATAACCCGATACTAAATAATTAGTATGAGCTCAGGGCTGTGTGTGTGCCACTCATTCTGCCTCTGGTAATGGGATGCAGTCGGTGTCGTTTTACGCTTCTTCCCGTGCAGAGCTCTGTACCCTCCCTGAGGGTGTACGAGAGCACTGCTTGGAGGAACGATTTTGGGGTGAGAAGTGGGGACGGACTGACCCCCAGCTCCTTTTCCCTATTTCCTGGGACTTTCCTAGAAATTTCCCATTGGGGCCAGGCCCTGTGGGGCCGGGGGCGGCGCCTGTGGAGCCGCGGGCGGGGCCGGGCGGTGCTGGCGGAAGGGCAGCGCGAAGCCATGCGGGGCCCTAGCGCCTTCCGCCCGCTGCTGGCGGCGGTACGGCGGCGCGGCGGGGCCATGCCGGGGAAGGTGCGTGCGGGGCGGTGGGGCCGGGCAGGGCCGGTGCCGGTGCCGGTGCCGGTGCTGACGGCGCGTTTCTGTCTTTCAGAGCCGAGGAGCCGCGAAGGAGCCCGCGGGGCAGGCGGCGGCCGCGGGGCCGGTGGTGGCGGCCGAGGGCGGCGTGCGGGTGACGGTTCGCGCCAAGCCCGGCGCCCGCTGCAGCGCCGTCACAGGTGGGCGGCGGGCGGGGAGCGGCGCGGGCTCGGCACGGGGAGCCCGGGGGGGCTCTGAGGGCTCAGGCGGTGTGAAAGGAGGGGCAGCGACCCGGATGGCCTGGAGGGGCTCGTCCAGCCTGAGTGGTTCTGTGGGCTTTCCTTCAAGCACTTGGGCGCAGCGCTTCAGTTTTAGGCCAGCTGCTTGGATCCCAAGGGCTTGTGGAGGTTTCCTCCTGCTGTAAAAGGTGGAGCTCGCAAAATCTGTTCCCTTGCTACAAGTCTGGGTGCTCTGGACAAGCTGGAGCAGGTTTTTACATTGGTAGGCGTGAGCCTGACACAGGGGCCTATTCCCCGCTGGGTGCCTTCCCCCTCTGAGAAGGGCGATGCTGAGCTCTCCTTCCAGCTCCTTCACCAGGGATTAAAACTAAAAGCAGTTCTAGGCCACAATAGTTACTGTTTACAAACATATAAATCTAAAAGCTGGAGCAGAGAAGAAGCAAATGCAAATATCACGTTTCAGTCATTACATCCAAGAAACACTGATCCATTGGCTGAGTTTTACATAGGGTCGGTAAAATCTGAGCACGGATTAGCACACTTAGATGATCTACCGCTTGAGCCAGAGAAAACGTGATGATAGCAAAGGTCTTGGGGCCAGCCTATTGGTCATGCTTTTTTTTTTGCATATTGGGGGTAATACGATTTGTATTATGCTGCACAAAGCCAAGCTGGAGAGCTGGAGTACACCGGCAGCAGAATGGGCAGTACAGTGTAAAAGCCAATAATTCATTAGCTGATCACTGATACGGGTCTAAAGGCTTCGCTGTTCTTTGTGCTGGAAGGTTATTGTTATTCGCACTGGCTAACAGTTAACTTAAGGGAATTAGTGAAGTATAAAAATACTGAGTTACCTGCTGATCTAAGAGTTACCTCCTGATCTAGGAGGTCATTTGGTTGTAAATTGAAATGATTTTGAAAGCATAAGCATTCATTTTTAGGAAATGATAACGAGATGTTTTGAATATTCTGAGCATAAACTCTTTAAAATATCTGTTCTAGATGTGACAGCTGAGGCAGTAGGTGTAGCTATTGCTGCGCCTCCGTCAGAAGGGGAGGCAAATGCAGAGCTGTGTCGCTACCTCTCTAAGGTGCTAGAAGTGAAGAAGAGTGAAGTTATTTTAGAAAAGGTACTTTTTTTTTTTCTTCTTTATTTCAGTCTTCTCTTACTGCACTTTAAATTCAAGATTTTCAATTGTTATTCACTGAGTTAGTCATTGGAGATACTCTCCAAGTTCAGTCCAAAAGACACTTGAAAAGTGTTTGAGTTAATGGAATGATTCATTGAGGAAAAACCTAATACAAGAAGAACCACAGCTTGAGTATGTAGTCAGAGTACTTCTTATCATGATATATTTCCAAAAGTTTATGAAGTTCATGTTTTCTGTGACCCTTAAAGATACTTCTGTTTTCATTTCAAATTCAATACGCATAATTTGTGCTTTGCAGAAAAATGTGCATTTTATTTATAACTTTGCATTCCGTTTTTGAAGGTACTTCTGTATTTGAGTAAAAATTTTCTGAAAAGTAACTGTTGCATATAAGTAAAAGCATTTGTAAACACATCCATTCTATCTGGGCCTTAACAGTTTCTTTGTACTAATAGAACTTGTGTGTGTTGACTTGGCATGTGGAAACTGTTTGTATTATTCATTGCACTGAATAAATAATTCGTTTTATTAACGCATTGAACTCATATGTCAGTCTTTCCAACCATGTTAATTTACAGTTTGTAAGCATGAGAGCACAATGAAAAAACATGCTTTTTATTTTTCTGTGCTTGTTTAATGTAGCTGTAAAAGTCTGTTAAAAGATAGTGGTAATAAATGGAATACAATCAATGAATTGAGCTCTGCTTTGATGAAGGGTAGAGATGCTAAGGCTTGGTTCATGTTTTCTCGACTCCTGGGCAAACTCCTTAATTCAATCAACATTTTACAATAACACTCTCCTGCCTTAAAGAGATGTTTAGGTTTAACTAGTTTATTCTCATAAGTGCTAAGCAGAGTTGAGCATAAAAGGGGCCGGTGTTGCCTGACCTTCTTGACTCGGTTGATCTGACCTACAATGTCCAAATAATTGCATGCTAGTGTTGTTTTTCACAAACCACTGTTTGTTCTCAGTGAAGCACTGTGGTAAAGTCAGTATTTTATCTGTGACTTGGATTTCCCATCCTGATCTGCTGAGTGTACACAGCGAGTGATTTTTGTACTATTTTCTCTCTCTTATGTGCTACTTGTTTTATGATAAGCGATAATGCCACGAAAACTAATCTAAGTGGGAAACAATCCAGTATAAAATAGGGTTTTGGAAATATGGTAATATTTCTACCCAAGGGGCTTGATTTTCATCATCAGCTGGCTAGTCTGCTTCAAAAATCTATTTTTAATTTTAAAATTCATGCCATATTTCTGTATAGCACTGTTAAGACATTTTCCTTATTCAGGATGTCCTTTTGGATCTTTAAAGATTTTTGTCAGGCTGCAGATTAAAATATGACATATTTGTTTCTCACATTTTTACTGAATACGGGCGAAGTTGTAGCTTCAGGCAAAATGAAATGAAATTGCAAATTTGCCAGTTCCTATGTAAAATAGCAATTTTGTCAGTAATACAAAAACAAGTCAACAATATTTAAAATAACTGCCATACAAATCTGAGTATTTTACAGGTTATATACAATGCAATTTATTTTCATTTTGTTGCTATTATCAACTTGGGAATTCAGCTTAAGAGTAACTAATAGTTTGTGGGAAACAGTGTTGAAGGAAGATTTAAAAGTCTACATCTACCAACTATATACAGTAACCTTTAAAAAAATAAAATGCAACTGCAGTTGCAGTCTTTCTTCTAGATGATACAGCTGAATTATGGAAACATACCTTACTTTTTCTTCTAGCCTATAAAAAGGGCAAAAATTCAGGGCATGCTCTGGGAGCTCTATCCAATTTTAAAAGCAGAGTAGATTAGGCATTGCTTTCCACTTTTAAAATAACTAGAAAGGACACTGATGAACCACGTCTTACTGCTGTTAATTCTGCATACCTACACTCTTAAGAATTATTTTTTCAAAAATACCTGTATAATTTTTCAATACCTGATGTATTGGCATCACAATGAGCTTTTTGGCAATGTGTGTTTAGTGGTGATTCTCTGCAAGATAATTTTTCTGTGTGTCTGAACCAGGGTGGTAAATCCCGTGATAAAGTGGTGAAGATTTTGGTATCGGTGACACCAGATGAGATATTAGAAAAACTGAAAAAAGAAGCTTCCACGTGACCTAAAACACGAGCAAATGGAACAATGTAATGCATCTTGGTAAATGGACTGATGGTTTTTCTTATGTAAATCTAGTCCTTTCGAGAATTTGGATAATGGCTAGGAGAAGATATTCTCCTCTGTCCCCCCCCTCCCTGTGTCAATATAGCTGCTGTATAGTTGAAGCATTTGTGTGTGCATAGGTTTGCTTAGAAAAACTTGTCTTTACTGAGGCTCTGTATCAGCTTCTGTTACTACCACAGGCTTTTTCCCCTCTGGAGAGTTTCCTGTCAGTAAGATTTGTCATCTTTCATGGACTCTAAAAAGTTGTTTAAGAAAATTGTTTCTGAATGCAACAAACTTTGGTTCACCAAGCAAAAGGCTTGGAGTGATAGGCTTCAAAGGCATTGGGACAATGTGACAAGAAATGTGGTGCAAAATTATAAATCATTCTGGACAGCAAAACCTAGAAGAGTGTTCTCTTCAATATCTAGTGGCGGGTATAGGGTGCAGTTCTACACCATGTTCACATACGTACATCTAATATGAATGTATTTGAAGGCAATATGCTGTTCTTGATCATCACACAGACAAACTAAAAACAGAATCAACACCATAAATGAAGCAAAATCTGAAGTTTGTAGAGCTGACCCCAAACCCAGCAATGGCATTCCTAGTGTCACTTTGTGATAGCCTGCAATTGGTTGCCTGAAAATCAGAGATACAGTGATAGAAGCTGTGCCAAATGTATGTCAAATGTAATGACTGTTTTTAATAAAAGGGGCAAAAAAAATATTATCAAACTTTGCTTTGTGTTTATATTTTTAACAGAAACATGGTTTCCTAGATGTCACATACTAGAATGTTATTTTTAAACAGGACTTTTTTTGTGATCGTTCCTTGGTTTAAAAATGTTTACTATCCCAACCCATAGAAAATCAAGCAGAGTCATAGGTAGCACTGAACAAGAAATCTGAAAGAAAATGGGCAACTATTTCCTAGTCTCATGGGTAATAAGAAGATTTGACTTTTCTTCTTAGTATTCTTCAGAGGTCTCTGGTAGGAATTTACTTTTTAGTACAGTCACTACTAATGTCCGAATTTCTTATCTTTACTATGATCGTCATGTTTTACA